AGAAATACTCATACATGAAGGATGAGTATACGTGTTGGGATCTTATTATATAAATGCGTTTTATAATACATGTTCAATACTCATTTTTCAATTATTTATTAAATGTTAGTATATAATAAAAAGTTATAATATATAGATATATGATCCAAGCAAGTTTAGTTTGTTTTGAATGTATATTTCAATATAATACACTTTCATATTTATTATAATTATCATGTTTAACATTATGAAATGAATTAGTGTAAATAAACATATCATGAACATATTTGTATTAACTTCATTCTCATGTTATCGTTCAACTAACCACTTCATCATTCGCAAGGTAACATCTAATTAGCTTGAATGGTATTCCCATCACTTGAGAGAAAACCCAAAAATGTTTTCTTTAAGAACCACCTCGTTCTTTAAGCATCAATCGCTTGGACATTACAACATGTGTTTGAACATCATTCAATAAGTTCTAAATAATTCTTCCACCATCTTATAAAGCTTGAGTATTGAACCAGTGCTCAAGTATCTAGATCATGTGTCCATGTGCTTCCCATCAAGACACGTGTATATCACATTTACGCTAAAATGTTCTGAAACAACGTTCGAGTCTTGCTTGTGTGATAAAACGTCATTCAATATCTATTAGACCCAAAAGCAACTCTAACAAACTTAACCAAATAATTTCACAAAGTTTTTAACCATTTTTTAGGGTTCTTATATTTCATGCTCATCCACGAGGTTGCCCTTAATCTTACAACTACGGATATATCAAATACCGTCTAACAATTTTATCAGAACTTTGTAGGATTCTTACATCTTTAACTTTCATATACAAATTATATGTTACCATTTTCCCCATTTCATTTAACAATCACCATATTATAAAAAAAATATTATTAATTGTCCTTGCCTTTAAACTGAATTGTGCCTTCAACATTCAACACTTCCTAATCATTTATAAAACTTCAATCAATCAAGAAATGTCTTCAAAAGACCAATTCTACATTGATGGAATCTCATTTTGATAAAGTAAAACACAAGTAAGATTGATTTTACCTAGCAAAACTAACCTTCAATATGTTCAAAATAATTTATTTTTTAGCAACTTAAAACCTTAGAAAAATGTAAAGAGTTTTTTTTTAAATAAAAAATAAAACAAGCGATTTAATAATGAACGCTTAACTTTTATTTATACACCTTCACTTCCTATTCACTTGAAAAATCTAAAAATTAAATGTATCCAAATCTCACCACATATAAGGTTTGGTCTTGTATGCGTGACCTTGATAAATGGTTTGCATGATCCTAGATAAACGACGTAGAGATCTCCGATGTAGTATCATGTCTTAGTGACGACGATAAACACAGAATCCACATTAATAAAGGTGTATTGACTTTATTAATTTAGTAATATACATACAACTTCATGTCATAAGAAATTAAAAGAAACTCACTCGATGATAGATACTTTGTCATTCTAACATAAAAAATACAAGTATATTTTGATGTATATCGAGTATTAACTTTTATGGGACTTATTTATCATTATTATTAGAATTTTCAAATTACATCATTTAATTATGATATGATATATGGGTAAATGTAAGTTTACTAATTATAATGTCCATGATTTTAATATATACGTACGATGATAATGATATTACGGTGATATATTTTGTTACATTGTTTCAAACTTGCATACAATAATAAATAGTATTATTCGTAGGAGAAGAAAACGAACAAACTCCCAAATGAGATAATCTTAAAAAATAATTAAGTAGAAATACAATCAAACTTCTTAAATAAACTTTAAAGATTTGTTTAAATTTTTAAGCTATGGAAAGCTAAAAAAAATAGAAAATCAAGAAACAAAAATAGAAAATTAATAAAAAATGAAAATGAATTGATAAATTTTTGTACACATACAAAAAGACGCGTGTAAAATCTCATAATCAATAAAATTGTGAAAAAAATTATATAATTAATAGAAAATACAATCAATTAAATCACTGATATTTTGTAATATTTAATGTATTTGTATTTGATGTTAAAAAATATAGTGAAATTACGTTTTATGTTATTAATTCATTATAAATATTTATATTTATATTTTAATGAAATAAATAACTATAATAAAGTTTACTTATAAATCTTGAAGTTAGAAGTTATGTGTATTACAGATTAGTTTAAAAGAAATATTTGATTGGAAAGAGTGAGTTTATTTTTGAGTGTAGTAAAGAGGGAGTTGTATTTATAATAATAAAATATAAAAAGAAGAAAAGAAAGCATACGTAAGTTTGTTTTACTTGGCCTCATGCTTTGTCTAACTGAAAATGATGTAGTGCGGTGGCATGGGTTGTTGGAAGTGACAGAAGTTGTTTTGAGTTTGAAGTCTTTTTTGACACTCGATAAATGCCAGCGATAGGTGCATAGCTAGCAGCACCCAGGATAGATACTCTGCTTCCCAACTACTTCAAACAAAACATAAACACACTCACTACTTCAAACAAGTGTTTTTAGAAATATATTTAATTTTCTCAAAAATAAATAAATTATTTCTTTGATAGTTCTCTCTTCAAAAAATATATTAAAATATATCAGAACATAATTTTCAAAATATTACGAAGATTGAGATGGAATTAAATATATATATATATATATATATATATATATATATACATATATATAAATGTACAATTATATCTACATATTATTATACTTTGCATACTTTAATAGTACAAAAAATATTTAATACAAATGTTAAAGCTATGTTTCTCCTACAAAAGCACGGGCCATGTTCGCTAAAAATAACTAACAAAATAGTTGAAAGTTCAAAAAAATCAATTAAAATCTATTTTAAGTGAAAAGTTTGAAGTTAAATCAATTAAAAATAATATTCAAATATACATTTAGCTAAATATACATTTAAAAATTAGTAATATTTAAGGTATCTATATAATTATTTAATTATTTTTAAAAAGAATATTTTTCACGAAATTTTGTTTATAAGTATTAAAATATGTTTCCCGTCAAATGAAAAACAAACATACACTTTATTGTCCCCAAGTCACCCAAATCTCAATGTAAATCTGTAAACATCCATTCCCAAGGAATGTGAGAGAACTAATTTGTTGGAGTTTGAGGAAATTCTTTTCAGTCTTCGGAATTTGAATTTTTTAAATAATGTTGAAATTAACGTTAAAGATACTTTGAAAGCAAACTTTATCACTTAATTTGCTAATCACATCAATCTTATTACTAAACCTTTTTTAACACAATATGAATATGGAAATTTTACTAATTTTTTAATAGGAAGGTAGCAATGTTTGATGATACTTGGCATGACAAATAACATGTATAATCAACATCTTATTAAAGTTATTACTATAACATATATTACCATATGATGCTTTTCAGCGACGAAGTTTTGATGCATTGTTCATCTCTTCCGGTACTCATATGTCACCATTGGTTTTTATTTAAGTAAAATGAAATTATTATTATTTAACACTCCTAACATTCGTGATATTTGATTCTTTTTGTAAAATTATTTTTATTTAATATTAAGGAAATTATAGAGGCGTGAGTAAGAACATACTTATTATCACATAAAAAACTAGAACGATTCGACTCAATTCACCACAAGTTTGACCTTTAATAAGTCAATCTAACCTGACTCACTTATTAGTGAATTGAAATTCGAATTTGGCCCGATCCATCACGGGTTGGTGGATTAAACAGGTTGACTCATTTAATTATAAGTTTTTTTAAATAAAAAAAATTACAATTTTTTTAATTCAAATATAAATGAACGTCACACTAAAATAATGTTTAACTCACAAAACAATTAAAAAAAATATCATAAAACCCAAACATAATCCAAAAACATCTACAAACAAACAAATAAGTTTTTAATATTGATAATTTTTGTATCTCTTTGTTCTGTCCATTTATAATATTAAAGTTTTAATAGATAAAAATGCTAATTAATAATATTGAAACATAAAATAATAAATAATTAAATTAAATTAGGCGGGTTTGACTCACCATGGGTTTAACCTAGTGAGCCAGGTTAAAAATTAACCCACATTAAAAAATTACATTTTTTTCAAACCCAATTCGACTCAAATTTACAGTGAGCCGGATTGGCTCGTGATGTACAATCTATTTTAATAGCACTAATAAAACAATGATGAAAAATAAATTTAATATGTAAGAATTTTAAGAATGAGAATAATTGAAAACCAAAGAAAACAAATAAAACAACATCACATATAAAAATTATTTAACAAAAGGAAAACTTCATCTCATCTTTAGTTATAATGATATCAATAACCAAAAACTTGATTAAAATAAAATAATAACCCAATAACAATTACAGAAAATAATTATTTGAACATAGAATAAAGATTTGAAGGGGGAAGTCTAATGGTTCCAATTTTGCAATTGAAATTAAGAAAAGCAAAATGTTTTTTTAACGACTTTTTTATAACATTTTCACAACAGTTTATACGTGATAGTTTGTGATTGATCAGTTTCAAATATACAGACCAATAAAATACTGACACGTAATCTAATATAAAAAAGTTGTTAAAAGAATTTGTTAAAAAAATTTGTTAATATATTATAACCTTTAGTAAAACCTAAGTAGTGGTAGTTGTTTTATGCTAATGTTATTTGTAAATGCAAACAAAATCTACACAAAATTTAAAAAAATCGAATAAACAAGATAAATAATTAAAATTGATATAATTTTGAATATTAGATAATTATTTTGAATTTTTTAAAATCTGAGTTTTATATAATTAGTTGCTTCTTGAGAAAAATATTGCAATTGTTACATGTTTTTTACTGTTTAAATTTTTTGATTTGAATAATAATTTTTTAAATAAACTCTAAAAATCTTTTGAAAATAATTCGAACTAATTGAATTACTGGCCAGTCCGCAGGATGCATAAAGGGACAGAAAAATTCCTTCTTGCAAGAAACAATGAAAATGAAATATTAAAAAGAAAAGAAAGAAATGCTGTGGTGAAGAAGTGGATAAGGTACTCTGAAATTTGTCATGAGTTTTGTAATAAATTACAGATATAGATTATGGATTAAGATCCTCCCCGCCATTCACATACCGAACCACTGCACTGCTTAAGCATGGCAATGACATTTGAAACGGGTCGTTTTCACCTTTCGCGCCCAACGGCCTCAAAGCACTTGTTATTCTCGGCCATTATCAAACGACCAAAACCCGTTTCGCTTCCTTCTTCTCGGTTCTTCCATTGCCGATCGAGACGCCTCGTTTTGACGCAGAGATTCGCATCGAAAGTCTGCGCGGTGAAAGTCGAGCAGAAGAACGTCGCTACGGAATCAGGAGAGTGGGGGAAGGTTTCCGCGGTGCTCTTCGACATGGACGGCGTGCTTTGCAACAGCGAAGAGCCTTCAAGAAAAGCCGGCGTCGATTTGTTTGCCGAGATGGGCGTCGAAGTCATCGTCGACGATTTTGTGCCGTTTACGGGAACAGGTATTTCTCTAGGTTTCAGGTTTCCTTTTTCTGAACTTCACGCTTCAATCTCCTCCGTAATTTCTGAATATGTTATGCGTTTTTGGCCACTTGCCTTTGTTGCCGATAATTTATTTAGTGTGTTTGGAACGTTAATACTCTGTGGAGAAGATTGACATTGAATGTGCATTGGGAAGCGACAAACAAAATCGCTGTGGCGTGGACAAACGTCGTTGTTAATTTTATAGAGTCTCTACATAGAGCTAGACGATGAGAATGACTAAACCTTCATTCCCGGTTTGTAGTAAGTCCTTGCATAAACTTGGATACAAGGTGAGGGTTGTGTCAGGCTAACTTAGATCTTAGTTGAACTTCTACGACATGGATTAAGTTGGAGATAGTGTTAATCTAGGTGATTATCGCGAAACAACGAACTACTTGGCTCTGGTAAAGTATCGAACGAGCAAGAGTCACTGCATTGCTGCTTGGATGCATTGAAGAAGTCTTGGTTGTTTCGGGCTTATCCTATGTCACAAAGGTTTAAAATTGTGTTTGATTCGGTTAAAATGTAGTTGAAGTGTTAAGTTTTTTAAATTCAATCTGATTTCCATCCTTTTTTTTTATTAACTTAAGCAATTGATGTGCAACAATTTAATCTTTAGCAACAACTAAACCTTTTCTAAATAGGTGATTAAGAGAAATAAGTAGATTTGGGTCGGGTACATGGATCATTAGTAGTCTTAATGTTTTGTTATGAATTATGTTTCTGGTAAAATCATTGACCTCTTAATCCTTCTTAATTGTTTCACTTTACCGAAAGGTTTTTGGTGAAATAAATTAGAGAAATAAAAAGTGAATAGAAATTTTTAGTCAAGTTTGATCTAGAGGTTACTTGGTGGGATAGCACAAAACATAGGTCATCATAGCTTTAGAAGAAATCCATTTCCTATCTTAAAACTAGACAAAAGAACATAAAAAGAAAATAACAACTTTGTATAATGTCATTTTGTTTTTTAAATTTCCTGATCTTTTTAACTTCTATACTTACTGTGTAGCATGTAGCAAAGAATGTAGTCGAAATGCCTTTTTTCAAATCTACCTTACTGCACTTTTATTTTGCTTTGATCGGACGATGTTCTTTGGAAGATAGTTAAGTTCCATTTTTGTTTTGTTGAGTTGCTACTTGATTATTAAGCTTTCAAGTTATTCATTGCTTTTTTCTTTTTGTAAACATGAAAGGAGAAGCTAACTTTTTGGGAGGTGTTGCTTCTGTTAAGGGAGTTAAAGGATTTGACCCAGAAGCTGCCAAAAAAAGGTTCTTTGAAATATATTTAGATAAGGTATATATATATTTCTCTTGATGCTACTTTTTATTTCTCTACTCGATATTGCCTAATGTGTTCCATTTATCTCAGTATGCAAAACCAGATTCTGGAATTGGATTTCCGGGTGCCCTTGAACTCATTTCTCAGGTATGCATGACTAGTCATGATATTAGCATTGTTTGATTGCTTTGCTGATTCATCAAGTAACTAAGAAAGGACATGGTACCACATATCAGTGTAAAAGCAAAGGCCTTAAAGTGGCTGTTGCATCTAGTGCTGATCGTGTAAAGGTTGATGCAAATCTAGCTGCTGCTGGTTTACCATTGTCAATGTAAGCCAACACATTCTGAGTAATTTTTTAAATGTTGATGGAGACATTGACCTATAAATATTGTTGATTTACTGATAATATGCAGTACACTTTGTCATTGATATATGCAGTATAGTATAGAACTTTTTATTTTATTTCTTAAATTAGTTATAACCACATTATGGTGTTAAACCCTAATCCAAGATGAATTCTAAGTCGACTGCATACTATATGCTAAGCTGTTGAATGTTTAATTTAGACAAGGTTTAAATGACATAATTGTCATTGCATTTGAAGCCTAAGTTCATCAGCTTGACTTTAGTTTTAATTGTAGCCTACACTCTATAACTGTTATTCTTATTGTACAAATGCATTTGTTTTATTAGGTTCGATGCGATTGTCTCTGCAGATGCTTTCGAGAATTTGAAACCTGCTCCTGATATTTTCTTAGCTGCATCGAGAATATTGAATGTGCCCCCCAGTGAGGTATATGCTATTAGATTGAGCTTATTATCGAAGGCCTATGCTTTAATTTTTTTGGACGGTCGACATTCTGTATAGTGGTGTTTTTTGTTGTTGAAGATGCAATATCAACCAACAATGTGTCTTCACCTAAAATCTTAAGCTTTTGGCATACTTAGTCTACAACATGGTATCGATGCCTCTATGATCAAGTAGTCTAGAGTTTGATCTATTTTTCTCCCATTCTTCTAATAAAAAGTTAGACTTTAGCACAAAGTGAGCTGGAGGTGCATTTTGCACCTAGGGAGTACTCTCGGTTTATTAGGGGCACACGGTTCTAAGAGGAGTACTCTTGAATTGTCCCCATTTTTTTCATATCAATAATCAATAATCAATACAACTTAACAAGCATGAACCTAAAAGCATATGGTGAGGCAATTACTTAGCCTTTGTGATAGGATATAGGGTGATAGGTGATAATGGGTTTAGGATAGAAGGAAGAGAAAATGAGAGGGCAGTTAGGAGGGAAGAGTTATTTGACCGTTAGTTAGTTAGTTAGTTAGTGGGAAGGGGAAGAGAAACTTTATAAATAAGGAGTGGGTTCTGTACACGGGGGATTATTGAGTGAATTTGTTGTAAAGACAAGATTTTAGCTTGTAGAGGGAGGTTATGCTCCTAACTAGGGAGGTTATGCTCCCAACCATTCTTTGTAAAGAGAGTTCTTTTACTGTGAATAATAGGAAACCCATTCTTTCATTACTGTTTTTACCTACTGTTAGTGTTCTTAGTAAGGTTTCAAACCCAGGAACCTAACAATTGGTCCGACCTGTCGTTTCGAGAAGCAACCAGATCATCCAGAGCGTTGCCGTATCAACAGGAGAACTGTCGGTTATCCCAAGGAGAGGGGTGCCGGATCAAGACGTTATCAAGAAACTGCCGCATATCCTTAGGAGAGGAGTGCCATAATATCCATAGGAGAGGAGTGTCAGATCTTTGGGAGAGAAGCGAGATGGAAGGTAGAGAAAATACCTTGGAGAGGAGGACCAACGAACTGAAAATGGACATGGCAGAATGCAGAAGAAATATGCAAGAAATGAAAGAAATGTTGCAAGAAATCAAGATTCACATAAAGGGCTTAGAAAGAAGTGAGAAATCTGTCATGGAAGGACAGAAAGAGGGTTCAGAAGAAGAGCTGGAGGAAGACAAGGGTGAACAAAATTGGAGAAAACGGGTAGAATTGCCCAGGTTTGAGGGGCTAGACTCGTTGGGGTGGTCTCTAAGGCAGAGAAGTTCTTTGACATTCAGAATGTCATAGAAAAGGAGAGGCTCAGGTTGGCTTACAAGTGCATGGAGGGAGGCACCATCTATTGGTTTAGGGCCTGGAAAAATAAAACCAAGAACCTTTCTTGGAAAGGGCTGAAAGAGGCATTGATATGGGGGTTCGGAGGAAGAGATAGAGGCTCTGTTTTTTAGAAGTTAGCCCAGACTACAGGAGTTACAGAAGCTGCCTCTGAGAAAGTTGTAGAAGTTTTTGCTGCAAGGGTGGATAAAGTGACAAATGTTGGTAGGGAAAATACATCAGGTGAAGATCATGATGGGAAGGTTGTGACTCTTGTTTCTCCAAGTAAAGTTGCAAAAGTTGTTGTTAATAGTGGAGATAGAGTGGAAGGTTGTGGTGGGAATGTCAAAACAGTAAAGAAAGGGGAAGAATTGTTGAGGCCTGGGGTTAAAACAGTGGTGTCAAAGAGCAACCCAGTTGAGTTTGTTTACCGGCAAGAGAGGACCTGCTGCAAGATATCAAGAAAGGAAAGAAACACTCATGTGGAGGAGAAAATTCAAGCAATTGGGAGCAAAAAGAAGAGGATGCCATTGACAATAATGGAGCTAGGAAGGGTGAGGAGACACCAGTTTTTTCGTGGGTGAAAAGAGAAGAGTTGATCACTTAAGAAGGGATTGACAACCAAGATCAAACAACAGGGGCAACAAATGCTTCTGTAGTTCAAAACACCAAAGGATCAACAAAAGCACACCCAAACAACAAAGAAAATGTAGTCCAGCAAGACCTGGCAACAAAAATCCAAGAACCTTTCTTGGAAAAATCTGGCAACAACTCTACTAAGGATAGTTGAAGGGAACAAAAGAAGCAATCTCTGTGAGAATTGGGTAGTAGTAACACAGATGGGGAGTGTGGAAATTTTACATGAGAGTTTGCAAGTAGATGGAGCAACTGCCAAAAGTGTTACAAGAGCCGATGAAGTCAGAGTTGAGATTTTGAGGACTTCACAAAATTGGGCTAAAAGAATCCAAGAAAAGTGGAAGTCATTGGAGGAGGATTTGCCACCACCCAAGCCTCCAGACCTGAATTGGAGGGCAACATCCAGTGGGTTCCCTACATATGGTAACAGGTTGAAGAAGAGGAGTCATGAGATCAAGCTTTCCGGTTCCAACCTTGAGGACAGGTTGTTCTGCAAGGGGTGTAATGATAGGATATAGGGTGATAGGTGATAATGAGTTTAGGATAGAAGGAAGAGAAAATGAGAGGGCAGTTAGGAGGGAAGAGTTACTTGACAGTTAGTTAGTTAGTTAGTGGGAAGGGGAAGAGAAACTTTATAAATAGGGGGTGGGTTCTGTACATGGGGGATTATTGAGTGAATTTGTTGTAAAGACAGGATTTTAGCCTGTAGAAGGAGGTTATGCTCCTAACCAGGGAGGTTATGCTTCCAACCATTCTTTGTAAAGAGAGTTCTTTTACTGTGAATAATAGAAAAACCCAACCTAACCGTTTTTCTATTATTCACAGTAAAAGAACTATCTTTACAAAGAATGGTTGGAAGCATAACCTCCCTGGTTAGGAGCATAATCTCCTTCTACAGGCTAAAATCCTGTCTTTACAACAAATTCACTCAATAATCCCCCATGTACAGAATCCACTCCCTATTTATAAAGTTTCTCTTCCCCTTCCCACTAACAAACTAACTGTCAAATAACTCTTCCCTCCTAACTGCCCTTTCATTTTCTCTTCCTTCTATCCTAAACCCATTATCACCTATCACCCTATATCCTATCATTACACCCCTGCAGAACAACCGATCCTCAAGGTTGGAACCGAAAAGCTTGATCTCATGGCTCCTCTTCATCAACCTGTTACCATATGTAGGGAACCCAATGGATGCTGCCCTCCAATTCAGGTCTGGAGGCTTGGGTGGTGGCAAATCCTCCTCCAATGACTTTCACTTTTCTTGGATTCTTTTAGCCCAATTTTGTGAAGTCCTCCAAATCTCAACTCTGACTTTATCGGCTCTTGTAACACTTTTGGTAGTTGCTTCATCTACTTGCAAACTCTCATGTAAAATTTCCACACTCCCCATCTATGTTACTACTGCCCAATTCTCACAGAGATTGCTTCTTTTGTTCCTTTCAACTATCCTTAGTAGAGTTGTTGCCAGATTTTTCCAAAAAAGGTTCTTGGATTTTTGTTGCCAGGTCTTGCACCCCTGGACTACATTTTCTTTGCCGTTTGGGTGTGCTTTTGTTGATCCTTTGGTGTTTTGAACTACAGAAGCATTTGTTGCCCCTGTTGTTTGATCTTGGATGTCAATCCCTTCTTAAGTGATCAACTCTTCTCTTTTCACCCACGAAAAAGCTGGTGTCTCCTCACCCTTCCTAGCTCCATTATTGTCAATGGCATCCTCATTTTTTTGCTCCCAATTGCTTGAATTTTATCCTCCACCTTAGTGTTTCTTTCCTTTCTTGATATCTTGCAACAGGTCCTCTCTTGCCGGTAAACAGACTCAACTGGGTTGCTCTTTGACATTCCCACCACAACCTACCACTCTATCTCCACTAAAAACAACAACTTTTGCAACTTTACTTGGAGAAACAAGAGTCACAACCTTCCCATCATGATCTTCACTTGATGTATTTTCCCTACCAACATTTGTCACGTTATCCACCCTTGCAGCAGAAACTTCTACAACTTTCTCAGAGGCAGCTTCTGTAACTCCTGTAGTTTGGGCTAACTTCTAAAAAACAGAGCCTCTATTTCTTCCTTCGAACCCCATATCTATTTCTTCCTTCGAACCCCATATCAATGTCTCTTTCAGCCCTTTCCAAGAAAGGTTCTTGGTTTTATTTTTCCAGGCCCTGAACCAATAGATGGTGCCTCCCTCCATGCAGCTGTAAGCCAACCTGAGCCTCTCCTTCTCTGTGACATTCTGGATGTCAAAGAACTTCTCTGCCTTAGAGATCCATCTCAACGGGTCTAGCCCCTCAAACCTGGGCAATTCTTCCTGCTTCCTCCAATTTTGTTCACCCCTGTCTTCCTCCAGCTCTTCTTCTAAACCTTCTTTCTGTCCTTTCATGATAGATTTCTCACTTCTTTCTAAGCCCTATATGTGAATCTTGATTTTTTGCAGCATTTCTCTCGTTTCTTGCATATTTCTTCTCCATTCTTGCATATTGCTTCTCCATTCTGCCATGCTGATTTTTAGTTCGCTGGTCCTCCTCTCCAAGGTATCGTCTCTTCCTTCCATCACCCTTCTCTCCCAAAGATCCAACACTCCTCTCCTAAGGATATCCGGCAGTTCTCCTGATGATCCGACCGCTTCTTGAAACGGTAGGTCGAACCAATTTGTTAGGTTCCTGGGTTTGAAACCTAACTAAGAACACTAACAATAGGTAAAAACAGTAATGAAAGAATGAGTTCTTCTATTATTCATAGTAAAAGAACTCTCTTTACAAAGAATGGTTGGGAGCATAACATCCCTGGTTAGGAGCATAACCTCTCTCTACAGGCTAAAATCCTGTCTTTACAACAAATTCACTCAATAATCCCCTGTACAGAACCCACTCCCTATTCATAAAGTTTGTCTTCCCCTTCCCATTAACTAACTAAGTAACTAACTAACTAACTAACTGTCAAATAACTCTTCTTTCCTAAGTGCCCTCTCATTTTCTCTTCCTTCTATCCTAAACCCATTATAACCTATCACCCTATATCCTATCAAAAACCCATTCTTTCATTACTGTTTTTACCTACTGTTAGTGTTCTTAGTTAGGTTTCAAACCTAGGAACCTAACACTTTGGCTAATAAACTTATTGAATGTTTACTTCTAGGCAGAAAGTTTCTCTTGAAATTCTTTCATGATAGCTTAAAACTGTTTCTGCAATAAGAGGCATCTGCAGTTACTAAGTGTGTCTTTAAGTGTACTGTGTCTCTTATTATGATTATCAACATCTATTTAATTTTAATGCACAACTTAGACATTGAATTTGATATCCTGTGTAAAATGATGGTTGTATTTTCTCTTAAACATAATTAATAAGTAATATGTATTCCCAGTGTATTGTTATAGAAGATGCGCTAGCTGGAGTGCAGGCTGCCAAAGCTGCGCAAATGAGGTAAGCATTGACCTTTGTATTTCCTGTGTTAAAAGAAAAAGATAACTAATGGTTGCTTGAACTTACCAACCCAAACCAATTTCTAGACTCCAAAACCACTATATCGTATGTTTACATATTTAAAATGTAGACAAAAAATATTTACATAATTTGTTTCATTGTTTGTAGATGCATAGCTGTAAGGACCTCAATATCAGATGCAGTTTTAGAATCTGCAGAGCCATCATTTATCCGGGATGACATAGGAAGTGTTTCACTTGAGGATATTCTCTTTGGTGGCACTGTTGGATATAGTATGTAGTTTTGGGTGTTTGTTGTAAATCTATCATTTTCCTCTAAATATTATTTTTGGCATTGATGTAGAATGGATAGCCACATTTGGTCCATAATTTAAGAACTCTGAGCTATGAGTACTCCATGTATTGCAAATTGTTCTCATTTATTGCAAAACTTTCACTTTAATACTTGGTTGATTTTGGTCAAGTTGTTTGTTCAATTAAAGTAAACTTTTTAGTTAAGATAATTATTTTTCTGACAATTATTTTTGAGTAGTGCACAAAAGTGTAGGTTTTATATTGCAAGGGGTCTTATCTAGACATGCCATTGCAGATGAGAGGATGCAGGGCTCTGAAACTCTAANGTACAGGGGATTATTGAGTGAATTTGTTGTAAAGACAGGATTTTAGCCTGTAGAGAGAGGTTATGCTCCTAACCAGGGATGTTATGCTCCCAACCATTCTTTGTAAAGAGAGTTCTTTTACTATGAATAATAGAAGAACTCATTCTTTCATTACTGTTTTTACCTATTGTTAGTGTTCTTAGTTAGGTTTCAAACCCAGGAACCTAACAAATTGGTTCGACCTACCGTTTCAAGAAGCGGTCGGATCATCAGGAGAACTGCCGGATATCCTTAGGAGAGGAGTGTTGGATCTTTGGGAGAGAAGGGTGATGGAAGGAAGAGACGATACCTTGGAGAGGAGGACCAGCGAACTAAAAATCAGCATGGCAGAATGGAGAAGCAATATGCAAGAATGGAGAAGAAATATGCAAGAAACGAGAGAAATGCTGCAAAAAATCAAGATTCACATATAGGGCTTAGAAAGAAGTGAGAAATCTATCATGAAAGGACAGAAAGAAGGTTTAGAAGAAGAGCTGGAGGAAGACAGGGGTGAACAAAATTGGAGGAAGCAGGAAGAATTGCCCAGGTTTGAGGGGCTAGACCCGTTGAGATGGATCTCTAAGGCAGAGAAGTTCTTTGACATCCAGAATGTCACAGAGAAGGAGAGGCTCAGGTTGGCTTACAGCTGCATGGAGGGAGGCACCATCTATTGGTTCAGGGCCTGGAAAAATAAAACCAAGAACCTTTCTTGGAAAGGGCTGAAAGAGACATTGATATGGGGTTCGAAGGAAGAAATAGATATGGGGTTCGAAGGAAGAAATAGAGGCTCTGTTTTTTAGAAGTTAGCCCAAACTACAGGAGTTACAGAAGCTGCCTCTGAGAAAGTTGTAGAAGTTTCTGCTGCAAGGGTGGATAACGTGACAAATGTTGGTAGGGAAAATACATCAGGTGAAGATCATGATGGGAAGGTTGTGACTCTTGTTTCTCCAAGTAAAGTTGCAAAAGTTGTTGTTTTTAGTGGAGATAGAGTGGTAGGTTGTGGTGGGAATGTCAAAACAGTAAAGAAAGGGGAAGAATTGTTGAGGCCTGGGGTTAAAACAGTGGTGTCAAAGAGCAACCCAGTTGAGTTTGTTTACCGGCAAGAGAGGACCTGCTGCAAGATATCAAGAAAGGAAAGAAACACTCATGTGGAGGAGAAAATTCAAGCAATTGGGAGCAAAAAGAAGAGGATGCCATTGACAATAATGGAGCTAGGAAGGGTGAGGAGACACCAGTTTTTTCGTGGGTGAAAAGAGAAGAGTTGATCACTTAAGAAGGGATTGACAACCAAGATCAAACAACAGGGGCAACAAATGCTTCTGTAGTTCAAAACACCAAAGGATCAACAAAAGCACACCCAAACAACAAAGAAAATGTAGTCCAGCAAGACCTGGCAACAAAAATCCAAGAACCTTTCTTGGAAAAATCTGGCAACAACTCTACTAAGGATAGTTGAAGGGAACAAAAGAAGCAATCTCTGTGAGAATTGGGTAGTAGTAACACAGATGGGGAGTGTGGAAATTTTACATGAGAGTTTGCAAGTAGATGGAGCAACTGCCAAAAGTGTTACAAGAGCCGATGAAGTCAGAGTTGAGATTTTGAGGACTTCACAAAATTGGGCTAAAAGAATCCAAGAAAAGTGGAAGTCATTGGAGGAGGATTTGCCACCACCCAAGCCTCCAGACCTGAATTGGAGGGCAACATCCAGTGGGTTCCCTACATATGGTAACAGGTTGAAGAAGAGGAGTCATGAGATCAAGCTTTCCGGTTCCAACCTTGAGGACAGGTTGTTCTGCAAGGGGTGTAATGATAGGATATAGGGTGATAGGTGATAATGAGTTTAGGATAGAAGGAAGAGAAAATGAGAGGGCAGTTAGGAGGGAAGAGTTACTTGACAGTTAGTTAGTTAGTTAGTGGGAAGGGGAAGAGAAACTTTATAAATAGGGGGTGGGTTCTGTACATGGGGGATTATTGAGTGAATTTGTTGTAAAGACAGGATTTTAGCCTGTAGAAGGAGGTTATGCTCCTAACCAGGGAGGTTATGCTTCCAACCATTCTTTGTAAAGAGAGTTCTTTTACTGTGAATAATAGAAAAACCCAACCTAACCGTTTTTCTATTATTCACAGTAAAAGAACTATCTTTACAAAGAATGGTTGGAAGCATAACCTCCCTGGTTAGGAGCATAATCTCCTTCTACAGGCTAAAATCCTGTCTTTACAACAAATTCACTCAATAATCCCCCATGTACAGAATCCACTCCCTATTTATAAAGTTTCTCTTCCCCTTCCCACTAACAAACTAACTGTCAAATAACTCTTCCCTCCTAACTGCCCTTTCATTTTCTCTTCCTTCTATCCTAAACCCATTATCACCTATCACCCTATATCCTATCATTACACCCCTGCAGAACAACCGATCCTCAAGGTTGGAACCGAAAAGCTTGATCTCATGGCTCCTCTTCATCAACCTGTTACCATATGTAGGGAACCCAATGGATGCTGCCCTCCAATTCAGGTCTGGAGGCTTGGGTGGTGGCAAATCCTCCTCCAATGACTTTCACTTTTCTTGGATTCTTTTAGCCCAATTTTGTGAAGTCCTCCAAATCTCAACTCTGACTTTATCGGCTCTTGTAACACTTTTGGTAGTTGCTTCATCTACTTGCAAACTCTCATGTAAAATTTCCACACTCCCCATCTATGTTACTACTGCCCAATTCTCACAGAGATTGCTTCTTTTGTTCCTTTCAACTATCCTTAGTAGAGTTGTTGCCAGATTTTTCCAAAAAAGGTTCTTGGATTTTTGTTGCCAGGTCTTGCACCCCTGGACTACATTTTCTTTGACGTTTGGGTGTGCTTTTGTTGATCCTTTGGTGTTTTGAACTACAGAAGCATTTGTTGCCCCTGTTGTTTGATCTTGGATGTCAATCCCTTCTTAAGTGATCAACTCTTCTCTTTTCACCCACGAAAAAGCTGGTGTCTCCTCACCCTTCCTAGCTCCATTATTGTCAATGGCATCCTCATATTTTTGCTCCCAATTGCTTGAATTTTATCCTCCACCTTAGTGTTTCTTTCCTTTCTTGATATCTTGCAACAGGTCCTCTCTTGCCGGTAAACAGACTCAACTGGGTTGCTCTTTGACATTCCCACCACAACCTACCACTCTATCTCCACTAAAAACAACAACTTTTGCAACTTTACTTGGAGAAACAAGAGTCACAACCTTCCCATCATGATCTTCACTTGATGTATTTTCCCTACCAACATTTGTCACGTTATCCACCCTTGCAGCAGAAACTTCTACAACTTTCTCAGAGGCAGCTTCTGTAACTCCTGTAGTTTGGGCTAACTTCTAAAAAACAGAGCCTCTATTTCTTCCTTCGAACCCCATATCTATTTCTTCCTTCGAACCCCATATCAATGTCTCTTTCAGCCCTTTCCAAGAAAGGTTCTTGGTTTTATTTTTCCAGGCCCTGAACCAATAGATGGTGCCTCCCTCCATGCAGCTGTAAGCCAACCTGAGCCTCTCCTTCTCTGTGACATTCTGGATGTCAAAGAACTTCTCTGCCTTAGAGATCCATCTCAACGGGTCTAGCCCCTCAAACCTGGGCAATTCTTCCTGCTTCCTCCAATTTTGTTCACCCCTGTCTTCCTCCAGCTCTTCTTCTAAACCTTCTTTCTGTCCTTTCATGATAGATTTCTCACTTCTTTCTAAGCCCTATATGTGAATCTTGATTTTTTGCAGCATTTCTCTCGTTTCTTGCATATTTCTTCTCCATTCTTGCATATTGCTTCTCCATTCTGCCATGCTGATTTTTAGTTCGCTGGTCCTCCTCTCCAAGGTATCGTCTCTTCCTTCCATCACCCTTCTCTCCCAAAGATCCAACACTCCTCTCCTAAGGATATCCGGCAGTTCTCCTGATGATCCGACCGCTTCTTGAAACGGTAGGTCGAACCAATTTGTTAGGTTCCTGGGTTTGAAACCTAACTAAGAACACTAACAATAGGTAAAAACAGTAATGAAAGAATGAGTTCTTCTATTATTCATAGTAAAAGAACTCTCTTTACAAAGAATGGTTGGGAGCATAACATCCCTGGTTAGGAGCATAACCTCTCTCTACAGGCTAAAATCCTGTCTTTACAACAAATTCACTCAATAATCCCCTGTACAGAACCCACTCCCTATTCATAAAGTTTGTCTTCCCCTTCCCATTAACTAACTAAGTAACTAACTAACTAACTAACTGTCAAATAACTCTTCTTTCCTAAGTGCCCTCTCATTTTCTCTTCCTTCTATCCTAAACCCATTATAACCTATCACCCTATATCCTATCAAAAACCCATTCTTTCATTACTGTTTTTACCTACTGTTAGTGTTCTTAGTTAGGTTTCAAACCTAGGAACCTAACACTTTGGCTAATAAACTTATTGAATGTTTACTTCTAGGCAGAAAGTTTCTCTTGAAATTCTTTCATGATAGCTTAAAACTGTTTCTGCAATAAGAGGCATCTGCAGTTACTAAGTGTGTCTTTAAGTGTACTGTGTCTCTTATTATGATTATCAACATCTATTTAATTTTAATGCACAACTTAGACATTGAATTTGATATCCTGTGTAAAATGATGGTTGTATTTTCTCTTAAACATAATTAATAAGTAATATGTATTCCCAGTGTATTGTTATAGAAGATGCGCTAGCTGGAGTGCAGGCTGCCAAAGCTGCGCAAATGAGGTAAGCATTGACCTTTGTATTTCCTGTGTTAAAAGAAAAAGATAACTAATGGTTGCTTGAACTTACCAACCCAAAACAATTTCTAGACTCCAAAACCACTATATCGTATGTTTACATATTTAAAATGTAGACAAAAAATATTTACATAATTTGTTTCATTGTTTGTAGATGCATAGCTGTAAGGACCTCAATATCAGATGCAGTTTTAGAATCTGCAGAGCCATCATTTATCCGGGATGACATAGGAAGTGTTTCACTTGAGGATATTCTCTTTGGTGGCACTGTTGGATATAGTATGTAGTTTTGGGTGTTTGTTGTAAATCTATCATTTTCCTCTAAATATTATTTTTGGCATTGATGTAGAATGGATAGCCACATTTGGTCCATAATTTAAGAACTCTGAGCTATGAGTACTCCATGTATTGCAAATTGTTCTCATTTATTGCAAAACTTTCACTTTAATACTTGGTTGATTTTGGTCAAGTTGTTTGTTCAATTAAAGTAAACTTTTTAGTTAAGATAATTATTTTTCTGACAATTATTTTTGAGTAGTGCACAAAAGTGTAGGTTTTATATTGCAAGGGGTCTTATCTAGACATGCCATTGCAGATGAGAGGATGCAGGGCTCTGAAACTCTAAATAATTTTGCAGAGTCTTCATCTACTGTGCTTGATGGAGGGTAAGACAGTTTCATGCTGGAACCCTTTTTTTCCTTTTCATTCTCCTGAATTCTGAAGATTTTTTTTCCAAAAGTAAGTTCCTAAGGTATTTAGTCTTAGCATCATGTGAATTACTTTTAATCAGTTTTCATGGTGGGATAGATAACAATCCTCTGTAGAGAATAAAAAACGTAGGTTGTAGTTCAATACTAATTCTATTAACCTTTTTTGAGGGTTTATATTTTTCTGGTCTTCAATTTGTTGTGTGTGCGTTTGATACACACTAATATAATTAGAAAGAGAACAAAAGTTAGAAGATAACTTTTTTAATCCTGTGCACTCTTTGATAGACAATGAATAAGACAACCAAAATAATTTCAAATTTACACTTTTAATATTAATTATAAAATTCATATTATTATTAATACTTATGAAATATATATCATTATACTTTAATATATATTGTATTTATCATAAATATTTTATCATATACACACATTATATTTATGTATGTATATGTGTGTTTGTGACAATAAACATTGATGTAAGCACGAAGAGGCAGGCAGGAGATAGAATCACAATGGTATCTATGTTGAAGCTTGAGAGTTATTAAAATTGTGGGGACTTAAGAATGGGGATGGAGAGAAAAGAGAGAGATGGGGATATTTTTTTCTTTTGAAGATTTTGTACTTGGGGCAAAAGTTTTGTCTTTAAGTGGAATTGGCTTTTAATACATATTTTCCTATTTCAAAAAGAAAATATGAAAATTAAAAGTCTAATGACCACCATTTGTGAGAGTTGAAATAAGTTGCCTCTTAACAGTAGCGGGATGTAGAATAGTTCCGTTTGCATTTGTTCACAATGTAAAGAATTGAATGATTCATCAACTAACCAGTGGGGATTCCCATAATTGGATTTCTGATGTTATGATGGTTTGGTGTCGTTCTCCTATATTATGAACAATGGCTTTTTTGATGACCATGAAACTCTTTATTGATGTGGCATTTTTGCCCTTGCAACAAGCAATGCTTCTTGGTGATTTACTATTATGAGGGTGCAGAAATAATTTATGGGCAGGTTGCAGGGTTCTCGGCGAGATATACTGAGATATGGAAGTCTGGGCATTGCTATCTCTTGCCTTATCTTCACCTTAAATAACTGGAAGGTACATTGTTGTTGCACAAAATTTGCCTCATCTTTGGTTGAATCTTAACTCTTCAATTCAATCTTTTGGAGGGACAACTAATTTGCAAGTCAATCACGTGTAACTAGCTAATCGCAATACTGCAGGCAATGCAATATGCTTCTCCAAAAGCTGTTTGGAATCAGTTGTTTGGTGTTGCCCTGCCACCCTTGGAGCAGAAAGGTGAATTTATCACTTTATCTATTTTCCTATCTCATGTCTTGTGTTGATAATATGTATGAATATGAATATAAAGGGTTACTGAATTTAAGACTGTATCTTAGGTAAGGATAAACACCTCATTTCTGCTTTAGGTGCCAAATCAAATTTTGGACCATAAAGTGCTTGAAGCTTCATGGTCATGTCAAAGAATCTTAGTAAACGGGTTGGAGCACTCCAAGTGTCCAATTATATATATAATACATAATACTTTGCTGATAAAAAAAAGAAAGAAACAATCAGCCTGAGAACTTAAGCTGCTACATGTTAGATAGGACAGATGAAACCTTTTTATCTGACTTTAGTAGTTAAATCTCCGGCAAAGTGTGCTGGTATTGACTATAGCCTTTTTTTCTTGAGTTATACTAAAAGTTGTAGTATAATCCATAAAATTGTTGCTTTTTTGTTCTCAGATAACTCAAGATATGATAGGATCCAGCAATTTGTGAACTACATTTCTGATCAGGAAAGCAGGTAATTAGTGTTTGGATGAATTTATATATAAACATTTTCTGATGATTTTAACCCTATGCTTATTTTATTAGTATATATAGTTGTTTTCTCAATATTGTCCAATATTTAGCTTGAAAGAAATATTTTCTATTGTGAGTTATTTTATGTGTTTAGAATTGTGAACGTTACCTCCTCCTTTGGAGAAAAAAAATTGATTGAAGATTGAAGCTTTGTACATCCATGAGCTACTGTAGAATTTGTAATTGTTATTAATACACTATGATCAATTTCTTTTCACAATTCAAGGGGAAATGCCCAGATAGTTCCAGAATTTCCATCTAAACTTGATTGGCTGAATACAGCTCCACTTCAGTTTCGCAGGGTACTCTTATTAAGTTTGAATTATAATCTGATGAAACTATCTGACGTGCTTCATTAGATTCTGATTCTAACTTTTGGCAGGATCTGAAAGGAAAAATTGTTTTGCTGGATTTCTGGACTTATTGTTGTATAAACTGTATGCATGTGTTGCCAGACTTAGATGCTTTGGAGAAAAAATACAAAGATATGCCGGTAATTTCTTAAATTTTCAAGATTTTCTTTGTTGTCCTGCATTTCTATTTGAAAAGTCATTTACTTGTCCAGTTAATGTTTGATTTCGTGCTTTGTTCAGTTTGTTGTCGTGGGTGTTCATTCTGCAAAGTTTGATAACGAAAAAGATTCTGAGGCTATTCGCAATGCAGTTTTACGCTATGGAATTTCTCACCCGGTAAATTTGAATTTCAAATTCAATTAATATATCAAAGTATTTACTTTTCTTTTTTTCTGAAAAATTGAACATTGGTCAGATGTTTATCGCCAGATGATCAGTTTATGAAAAACCAATGTTTTGGTTTGAGAGTTTATTCTGCTGTCATTTTGTTTATCAATATTCTTTGCTTTTGATATTTAATTTTGTTAATATTTTAGGGCTCTTGAACTTTTTCTTAATAAAGTGTGATCCACCAAATCTTATTATTTGTTTCCTTCTTTTAGGTTGTCAATGACGGAGACATGTTTCTTTGGAGGAACTTGGGTATAAGTTCATGGCCAACATTTGCTATAGTTGGCCCTGATGGTAAGCTTCTTGCACAACTAGCAGGAGAGGGTCACAGGAAGGTACTGATAATGATCTTTAGTCTCCTCTCCATGTATTTTATTTTATATTTTATTGTGATATTTTTAAATAATGGAAGATAATTCTAGGATTATAGACATCTCATTATGTGCACAGTATCACTTTTTTGTTGCTGTTACTAGTTTGTGTAATACCATAACCATGACTCTGAGTATTATAGATGTTGGAAGTCCTACATCGACTAAAGATAAGACCAATTTAAAGTATATAAGTGGGTGCAGACCTCACCTTACAAGCCGGTTTTGTGGGGTTGAGTTAGGCTTAAAGTCCACTTCTTAACATGGTATCAGAGCTATGGTTAGAGCTTATCATAACGATATTTGTTGTTTATTGGGCGTATTGTTCCACCTGCTATCGGGCCGCTATTGGACCACCCATTAATGTCTAATCTCACGCTCAAGATGTATATATCTCGGCGTGAGGGGGGTTGTGTTGGAAGTCTCACATCGACTAGAGATAAGGCCAATTTAAAGTATATAAGTGGGTGCAGACCTCACCTTACAAGCTAGTTTTGTGGAGTTGAGTTAGGCTTAAAGTCCACTTCTTAACAATAGATTTAGTATTGTTGAAAAGAAAATTGCGACTCTACTAGATATCTGTGTGAAAAACATTTATATTCATATTTGTCCTACTAATGAGCTGTGTGCATGGGTCTATCCAATGGATTGATGATTTTGGACTCATGCACCCATCTAATTAACAGACGGTAAGATTATCTGTTGAACAAAAGGTCTTGTATAGGAGCCTGTAACTATCTATTGCAAAGCCATAAAGAGCTTTTGTAGTTGAGTAATTTTATAAACAGCAAAATGAAGCAGTCTTTTTGGCAGGCATGAAAAGTTTGTGGGCTGGAGAAGTAAGAAGCAGAATTAAGATTTATTAGGCCTTAATTATTTGTTTGTGTAATAGCTGTGTCAAGGCTGTGATTTAGGTAGTTATGGAACTGAATATTTCCTTCCTTCAACTTCAGAAAAATAAGGATCTGAATTATTATTTTTGTATTTTATTGTCTCTATGCAGTTATTTAGAAAGTGTTTGACTAAACTTGTTTATTTTACATTTTTCCTAGAAAGTAGAAGCCTAGCCTAATACATTTAGAGAAAAGCACTTAAAAAGTTAAGAAATGTATTTTTATTGAAAAAAGAGGGGAAATTAGTTTTTTTTTTAAATAAACCCGTTGAAATAGCTTTTTAAGAACAATCTGCACATGTAGTCTCCCTTATACTGATTCACGGATGCCATTTAACTAACTTCGTTTGGAACTGTGAGAGCCATGATGTTGTAGTATGCACATGTATGGCTGTCCAGTGAACTTATGTGTCTCAATTGTATATGAGAATCCCATGTATGATATACACAGGCTATTGAATAATTTAAGTCATAGGTCATTTCTACTTTTTTTGTATATTGTGTCATCACTATGATAATTTAGTCAGAACCTCCCATTCAACTAAAAGTTAAATACTTATGTCAGCTCATCCATATGAAACTTTAAGAAAAAAAATTTTGGCTAAATCCAAGTGCAACTTTAACCCCAACAAGGAGGAGTAAAAAGAAGATTCAAATTGGGGTTGAGAATGGATTGGATGATAGCTCTGAATTTGAGTTTGAAAAATTACTTAACTTTTGACAAGAGTTTCTTAAAAGGGGAAGAGGAGGGAAATGCCCCATTGGATAATATTGAAGACAATTATGTTAGGATTGAAGAAGAGTCGCACCCACAGAAATTTAAGACTTTTATTTTATGGTTTGTTGTTATTTTAAGTTTTGAACTTGAAATTTGTGGTGTTTTTGATTTGATGTTATTGTTATTTGAACTTCTAGACATAATATTATTATTAGTTATGGATGTCTCTTTTATTACTTTTGCATTACCAGTATATTTATGTATTTTTTTAAATTATGCATATGCATATATTGTATTTCTTTTGATCGCAATGTTGTATTCCAAGTAACATTATTTTAAACCGAACTGAAACTTCCTTTTAAACCAGCCCCTGAAGGAAGATTGAACGTGATATCTGATGGGAGTGACACTTTTAAGCACCCGTGCTTTAAGAGTATTAGCCCATTTAGATTGAGCGTCAATCAACTCCCAACCTTGCCTAAGCATGCAGGATTAATTTATAATATGCCTAATGTTTTTTTTTTTTTAATGATTTGTATTGCTATTGCCATTGATTTGTTTTTCTTAATAATGCCCAATTACATTTATTGATACATGTAGTTACAGCTATTATTTTTCTTACAATATGGTTATTAAAACAAGTGTTGCATTATTCCTGTTTTGAAAAGGATCTAGATGATTTTGTGGAGGCTGCCCTTCTATATTATGGAAAGCAGAACATGCTGGACAATACGCCAATTTCCTTGAATTTGGAGAAAGATAATGATCCACGCCTGTTGACTTCTCCATTAAAGTTTCCAGGAAAGCTAGCAGTTGATGTCCTTAATAACAGGCTTTTTATTTCTGACAGCAACCATAATCGTATAGTGAGTCCTCTATGACTACCTATCCCCAACTCCCCTCTTCATGACCACTTGTGTATAATTTTAGTGACGAGTCAGTAGATTTACTTCTCATACAAACTATTTTGCTGCCAATATTTTAACACCACATGATATGGATGGTAATTGCCTAGTTTCTAGACACTCCTTGCTGTGGTCAATTCCGAAGTTTCGTTAAGAAGTTGCAAAAAATATCTTATAGAACCTTTGAAATCTTTCTCATATATAAGATGAGTCATGACTATCTTTTGCAGACACCACATACATTGCTCAAGAATTACAAAAGATGTCCATTCCTCTTAGTGTATATTGGAACTTGACTCTCGAACCCCGCTATTTAACACACAATATTATTGTTCAAATTCAATTATAAAGAATTAAACATGAAGGTGAATAATATGACTTGGATATCCTAATCGAACTAAGTATATGAAATTCTAATGACCAAACTACTAAACCTAACATTCCCATAATATTAATAATGAAAATGCGATCCTAAGTAATACAAATTAAACTTTGAATCCCAAATTAGCATACTTTATTCTGAGTTCTGTCAATTGTCTCTAATAGCTTCTCTTTCTAATTATGTGATACAGACCCAAACCTTATTGGGCTCAATGAGCCCTTGATCCTAGAAAAAAAGATCAAGCACAGGTGGGACAGAGTATGAGAGGAAAAAGACTAGGAAGGGTGACGTGGCATAGTAGGGAGGAATAGGTTGGTTAGAAGAGAGAGAGAAAGGGGTGTGGTTGTTTTAAAAAAGAATCAGGAAGGAAATGTTGGGGGGACGGTTAGTTGTTTTTCAGTAGAGAGGGAGCCATTCTTGGTTTCTCTTAGGAGCTTGGCTCTGGGCAGTGAGATATTCATATCTTACTGATTTTCTTGTGTGCAGAAAATAAAAATCATCCATATTCCATTTGAGTCTTCATTCAATCTTTTTCTATTCTTTAAAAAACCTTATCATTGGTCCAACCTGCCGGATACTAGCCAACAATGCCACCGAAGAAGAACATTACCCAAGGGGAACCAGTAGCTAAGGAGAATGATGAGACGAAGGTAGGGTTTGTTGCGGGAGAGGTGACCAAGCTTAAGGCAGTTGTTGAGGAGCTAGTTGCGCAATCGTTGCAAAACCAAACCCCTTTGGAGAATGTTCATAAGGACACCGCGGAGCAGATCGCAATATTACGTAAGGAAGCAGTGGAGAATCAATCAAAGTTGCTCAACCTAATGTCAGAGTTTACAAAGGGTAGAGAGGAGGAGGATGAAGGACAGGGGTCTGTGGAACACAAGAAAACGAATTCGGTAAAGGTTATACCGAGGGTGTTTCCGAGTATAAAACCGCTTGACGAAGATGATCTGTTGGAGTTTCGCCAATCAATGAAGAAAATCGAGTTGCCGTCATTCCATGGGGAAGATCCCGCAGGGTGGATTGCTAGGGCGGAGGTTTTTTTAATGTCTAAGAGACACGAGAAGCCGTTCGTGTAAACCTTGCCCATCTATGTATGGAAGGAAGCACCATACATTTTTTTCAGCCTATGTTGAATGAATATGAAGAGTTAACATGGGAAGATTTAAAGAGAGAGATGCTGGAGAGATATGGAGGAACGAGGGAAGGAAGTGTTTTTGATCAATTGGTTTCTCTAAAACAAACAGGAAGTGTGGAGGATTATATTAGAAGTTTTGAATATTTGATTACCCAAGTAGTAGCTGGGAAGAACATTTGCAATTACTGGAAAGGGTGTTAGGAGTGTTGAGAAATAACCAATTATTTGCAAACAAGGAAAAATGCATGTTTGGGTAGGAAAGTGTGGAATATTTGGGGCACATTATCTCAATAAAAGGAGTTGCGGTTGACCCGGCCAAGATTAGCAGCATGATGGAGTGGCCTACCCCTAAGAATGTGAAGGAGGTTCGTGGTTTTTTGGGTCTTACAGGCTATTACCATAAATTCATTAAGGATTATGGTAAAGTAGCAAAACCCCTCACAAAGTTAACAAAAAAAGATGGTTTTGGTTGGAATGGGAAGGCTCAAGAAGCCTTTGAAGAACTTAAACGAAGGATCACCACAGCACCGGTATTGCAACTTCCAAACTTCGATGAGGAATTTTTCCTAGAGTGTGATGCATAAGGAACAGGAATTGGGGCTATCTTGATGCAAGGAAAGAGGCCAATAGCGTATTATAGCAAGGCTTTGAGCCCTCGTAATTTGACTAAATCAGCCTATGAGAGAGAACTGATGGCAGTAGCTTTGGCAATATAGCATTGGAGACCTTATCTTTTGGGTCGAAAATTTACTGTTTTCTTTGATCAGAAGAGTTTGAAATAGTTAATGCAGCAACGTATAACTACTGGGGCTCAGCAAAACTGGTTGGCAAAGTTGTTAGGCTATAATTTTGAGATTGTTTACAAACCTAGTAAGGAGAATCAAGGGGCTGATGCGTTGTCTTGCAGCAGAGAAGAGGTGGAAATAAACAGTATGGTGTATTTTCCAATCTGGTTAGATTGGCAAGAACTCAATGCCGAAGTGCATGAAGATGATAAATTAAAGAAGATAATTGAAGAGGTGAAGGCTGGACAGGGTGGGCATGTTCACGTGGGTTACGAATACAAGAAGGGAGTATTATACTATAAAAATCACCTTATTATTCCGGAAAAATCAGCTTGGATTCCTAAGTTCTTGGAAGAATTTCATGCGACTCCCCAAGGTGGTCATTCAGGCTTCTATAGTACATATAGGAGAATAGCTGCCAACTTGTATTGGAAAGGGATGAAAAAGGATGTCCAACAGTTTGTCCAGGCTTGTGACACATGTCAGCGGCAAAAATACATTACAACAGCTCTTGGTGGTTTATTACAACCACTACCAATTCCAAAAAGGATTTGGGAGGATCTAAGTATTGACTTCACTACGGGACTGCCAAGATCTAGAGGGTTCGAAGCCATATTGGTGGTTGTTGATCGTTTATCAAATTACTGCCTTTTTGTGGCCCTTAAACATCCTTATACTGCAAAGGTTCTGGTTGAAATATTTGTTAAGGAGGTAGTAAGGCTTCATGGGATTCCAAATTCTGTGGTGAGTGATAGGGATCCAGTATTCATGAGTTTGTTTTGGAAAGAGTTTTTTAAGATGCATGGCACAAAATTACGAATGAGTACAGCTTATCATCCACAATCGGATGGATAAACGGAGGTAACAAACAAGTGTTTGGAGACTTATCTAAGGTGTTTTATCACCGATCAACCCAAAACGTGGGTGCTTTGGATGCCTTGGGCAGAGTTTTGGTTTAACACCACTTATCATGAATCTATAGGAATGACTCCTTTTGAAGCTGTATATGAGAGACCACCCCCCAAGATTGTGCAAGTGGTGCAAGGAGAAGTGAGAGATGAAGTTGTCCAAAAGGATCTTTTGGAGAGGGATGAGGTGTTAAGACAACTAAAATCCCATTCGCTTCGTGCTCAGGACAGGATGAGGACTCAAGCCAATAAGCACCGAAAGGAAAGGCATTTTGATGTGGGTGATCTTGTGTTTTTAAAATTGAAACTGAATAGGCAGCAGTCTTTCATGAACAAAGTCAACCCAAAATTAAGTGCTAGATATTATGGCCCTTTTGAGATTGTGGAGAAAATTGGGGAAGTGGCATATCGGCTGAAATTGCCACCAAATTCAAGAATTCATCCTGTCTTTCACGTATCATTATTAAAGAGAGTTGTGGGTAAGTATAAGGTTGAGGAAGATCTTCCTACTGGCCTGGAGGATGATAGAGCAGAATTATTAACTCCTGAAGGGATCTTGGCTACTCGGGAAAACACAAAGAAGGGGAAAATTAAGAAGCAAGTGCTGGTGCAGTGGAAGGGGCAAAATGTTGATGAAGCTACGTGAGAAGATTAAGTGATCATTAGAAGTCAGTTTCCAGAATTTAGCCTTGAGGACAAGGCTCTATTTCAAGAAAGGGGTATTGATACAAACCCAAACCTTATTGGGCTCAATGAGCCCTTGATCCAAGAAGAAAAGGTCAAGCACAGGTGGGGCAGATTATATGAGAGGAAAAAGACTAGGAAGGGTGACGTGGCATAGTAGGGAGGAATAGGTTGGTTAGAAGAGAGAGAGAAAGGGGTGTGGTTGTTTTAAAAAAGAATCAAGAAGGAAATGTTGGGGGGACGGTTAGTTGTTTTTCAGTAGAGAGGGAGCCATTCTTGGTTTCTCTTAGGAGCTTGGCTCTGGACAGTGAGATATTCATATCTTACTGATTTTCTTGTCTGCAGAAAATAAAAATCATCCATATTCCATTTGAGTCTTCATTCAATCTTTTTCTGTTCTTTAAAAAACCTTATCATTATGCAAGTCATGTGGTCATGTTTCTTACTCAGGTGGTTACTGACCTTGATGGGAATTTTATTGTACAAATCGGGAGCAGTGGGGAGGAAGGTTTGAACGATGGTTCTTTTGATGATGCTACTTTTAACCGACCTCAGGTACAAAATAAAGAAGCATACTTTGAGCTTCTAGAGTATTTAATTCTTGCTTAATTGTAGTATTTCATCAATATAGGTTAAATGTTTTTTTCCCTCTAGGGCCTTGCTTATAATGCAAAGAAAAACATCCTTTATGTTGCAGACACTGAAAACCATGCTCTGAGGTATGTGATAGCTTCAAAAAATCAATAGCCTTATTTTCATATTTATGACATATGTGACAGTGTCTGGTCATCACTTTAGGGTAATTTAATATTAGAAAACAGCTGAAAACTGCTGAATGACTCTTGCATATATGACTATATGCCATGCCTGCTTCATAATATCAAGACTGATCCACTCATAATTTCATTCTTAGAATGTTTAAGAAAATATTTCTTTGATTTGATAAAGTACTTTGGTGCTGTATTCATATTAAATGCGAGTCAAACTGTTGTAAGTTCAATGGGTCAATTTATTGATTAAAAAAATACAATAATGACTTTCTGTTCTATATTGTCAATTAAATAGTTTAGTGTTGTCGGGTCTAACATTTGTTTTTGTTTTAAAAGGGAAATTGATTTTGTTAATGAGAAAGTACGGACCCTTGCTGGAAATGGGACCAAGGGCTCTGATTATGTTGGAGGTGGAAAAGGAGGCACACAGGTAACGTAATTGTTTAGTATTGAGGATGAGTGGCAAAGATATATAGCTAAGAATCCAAGATGAACCACAAAGTTAGACTCCTTATTGTTGTTTTTAATTATCGTCTTTTCATTAAATGTGATTCTGATAGACTCCTTAATTGATCACAAATTTAAACTCTTCCATTTCCCTCTTTTCCAGCTTCTCAATTCCCCTTGGGATGTCTGCTTTCATCCATTCGAAGAAACAATTTATATTGCCATGGCTGGCCAACATCAGATTTGGGAGCACAATTTATTAGAGGCAACTTCCAGAGCATTTAGTGGTGATGGCTATGAAAGAAACTTAAATGGATCAAGGTATCACATCAAATAAGGGTACCCCCTTCTTGATGCCAGTAGTAATTTCAGTTCTTCCTCTGTGGATTCTATTGTTGTAACATTTGAAATTCGAATACCATGACGTTCAGAATGTTGCTATTTCACAGTCACTGCATATTTTTGTGCTATATTAATACTTACGGTGTTTATAAAAAATCTTTTTACCTCCCTCATGTGTAGTCTTAAGTTGCTATTTCACAATTTATTGATTCAACATTTTTCAGTTTACTCCATGTTTTGTGGTGACTTTTCATCTCTGAGAAAACTTCTGATCATTGCTTGCTTACACTCATGTTTTGACTGATGTAGTTCTACAAACACGTCATTTGCACAACCTTCTGGTCTTTCGTTGTCTCAAGGTAACCTGTGGCAACAATTTAATTGAACTCGGTCTAACATTAATGTCATTCATAATAATAAATGTTTCAATTGATTTTGCATGATAAGATCTAAGCAAGATCTACATCGCTGATAGTGAGAGTAGTTCAATTCGAGTTGTGGATCTGAAAACAGGAGGATCACAGTTGTTAGCTGGTGGTGACCCAATGTTTGCTGACAATTTGTTTAAGGTAGCTTTGATATAATTTCTGATACAAGTTACATAGATTTCGTGCTTCATTTTAGCCCATTAAGTTTCTTTATAAGGAAAAAAAATGCAGTAGATTAGCTTGGTGTTTAGTGATACAAATATTCAATCTTCGAACTCAGTGCTACACATCTTTACTTACTGATATATCATACATTTATGACCTTTCTCTTTAAAATTCATCTTCTTGTATCCTAAACCTCGCTCTATATCTTTAAACCTCTTCAGTTTGGTGATCAAGATGGAATAGGCTCGGATGTACTTCTTCAACATCCATTGGGGGTTATGTGTGCAAATGATGGTGAAATTTATATCGCAGATAGCTACAATCACAAGGTAGACAACTCAGACCCAGTTACTTTTGAATTGTCATGGCTCTGGCAGGCTATATATCTTATAGAGAACACTGACTCAGTTATATAGCTAACTAACATATCCCAGAACCAAAGACTCCTCGCTATGAAAAAGTATGGGATAGGGTTGTATGTAGATTACCCTTGCATATGCAAAAAGGTTATTTCTAGATTTGAATCCTCAACCAACTGAGTAATATACGCACACCAAGAAAAAAATGAATTTTTAGAATAATTTACATGTTCCTTTTGTCTTTACATGCATTTTCCAATTTTTGTCATTGCTGAAGTTCCCAACAATTCTCTCCTCATTCTTGCTGTATTGTCTTCTATAATGACAAGGATTGACTGGTCATCCTGCTGGTTTCTATTAAGAATCAATATTTGGTGTCAGACAGGTTTAAACATTAATAAGATACAGTTGAAAATAAAAGTCATTTATTATTCTCAATCATAAAAAATACATTCTCATATCCTCTATTTGTAATAATCTAATTATCCTAAAAAGGGAAATAGGGAAACTAGGAAATCTAGGAAAATAAAATAAAATAAAAAATTATGTATCCATTTTCTCTAATTAAGAAGATTCTAAAGATATTATCCCAAATTACAACAAATACTTTAACCTTTTTTATGTGAAATCTTGCGAGGGTAGCTTATTATTTTTTTACATATGTAGTTACGTCTCATACATGATTTAATGTTAAACATAGTCAGATACTTAGATTATGTCATCAAAGATATCTTTTGGAGCTTTGGAATCATACATGAAACACCTCACTTAGACACAATTTCTTTCCCTTTGTTATGTGTTTTAAATTATCAGATCAAGAAGCTAGATCCAACTAGTAAAAGAGTTAGCACCATTGCAGGAACTGGAAAAGCTGGTTTCAAAGATGGAACGGCTGTAAAAGCTCAGGTTGGTAAAATGTTTTATGCTATTTTCCTTAATCATCTCCTAGTTGGCGTACAAATTCCAGTTTATATTCTTGTTATAAAATGGTGAATCATCCATTGAAGACATACCGCTTTGATTCCTTTTTCTCTTTTATTTCAATACATAATTTTTTATTTTATTTTATTTTCCTAGATTTTCTAGTTTTCCTATTTCCCTTTTTAGGAGAATTAGATTATTATAAATAGAGAATATGATAATGTATTTTTTATGATTGAGAATAATAAATCAATCTCATTTTCAACCGTGGATACTATGAGTATTGGATACATGTATCAAATACTGCGATTTGTCTCATCTTTATAAATATAGGATATGATTAATTGAGATACATTTAAAGATATATACATATATATAGTTCACAAAATAAAATAAATATTATTATAACTTTTTTAAAAATCATATTAAAATTGAAAATTCTTATTAAATATTATCTAAATGGTGAGTTGCAATTGTTTCTATCTACATTTCTTGTCACAGTGCTTTTTTTTTAATTATGCAGTACTCAAATATCAAATCCTGCAAATGATTTTATGGAATAAATCATAAAAATGATATATTTTATGTATGTTGGAATAATATAAAAATAAAAATAATGATAGTTAAATATAAGACTGAAAAGAAAAAAAGGACTATAAGAAAAATTGCCACTGTTATATATATTAGTTGAATGTTCTATCTAAGGCTTAGTTTAGGAAAAACGGGTAGAGTGGGATCCTGGGACGTGTTGCCTTATTCAGCATGGGTAATAAAGTCTTCTCAGATCAAGGCTTATCAAGGTTTAAACCAAAGGACAATGCAAATTAAAAAACAGGATTATTAGCTCTACACGAATAAGCAACAGTGTTAACTTCTGAGCACTTTTTTTTCATTTTTAATTGCTGACACTTTAGAGATAAACGTATCCGTGTCAGATACGTCCTAGACAGGGATATGCAGCCATATGATGAACCGTACATCACAGCTTAAATCTATTAAAAGGTTACTTGGTATATTCTCCCCCAAACTCAATAGAGTTGGGTATGATGAGGTGTATTTGGAAAAATCCAAATTCCACATTCTATATAAGTGGGGATAATTCTTACCTTGCAAGCCTGTCCTGTGGAACTGGGATAGATCAAAACTGTTAGAATATTTATCTATTTATCATTATTATATTATGTCTAGGGTTATCCTATTTATCATGATTATATTGTGTCTAGAATTATCCTATTTATCATGATTATATTGTGTCTAGGTTACCCTATTTATCATGATTATATTGTGTCTAGGTTACCCTATTTATCATGATTATATTGTGTTTAAGGTTACCCTAATTATCATGTACTCTTGTATCAATTTATTTTTATTAATAGAAGATTATGAGAGGGATCAATCAAGCCTTCAAGAATTATTTTACAATTTCAATCTCAAGTTGGTATCAGAGGTTGTCTGAGTCTCTTCCTACTCTACGGCATTAAAAATTTCATCTTTTCTAAAATACTTCAATGAGCAATCCCACTGTCGTCTGCCACCATCCGTTGCCTCGGTATAGTTCGGCGACCAGTGGATCTTGATCGCCTCCTTGAGTGACGGCCAATCTTGCCGGTGTCGAGGGCTAGTTCTCATCCAAGTGCCGTCACGTGCGCCACATCTATCCGACGTCTGCCGCCACTGTCACGTTTTCTTCGACAAAGTTAGGGGTTTTGTCGCCTCAAGGAGCGTGACTCATCCTTGGTAGTCGCTGCCTCATTCTCTTCCACATGCACTATCACAAACGACTTTTTTCCTATCAGCTTCCGGCGCATGTTTGTCACAAGTCACCTTCCCAATGTTAGAATCATACTGCGTCGTTGTCGTTCGTCTCGCTGGACCAAAAGAAAAAAATATTCTTTGTTTCAGCATTGTTCCTTAGCCTCTTTCATAATGTGTGTTTAATTTTGCATATTGTAGTGATGTTTCTGATGGCTTGTGTTTATTTATTTACAAGTCTCTAAGGAGAGTCAGTGCTATTAGTTGATTAACACCAACGAATTTCAACACCAAAGTCATAGGTTGAAGGTTCCTCATGGCATAAGGGGAATTTATTTCTATCCAGATTCAGAATCTTAGTCAAACAATTTCACCAGTCCCTTGTCAGATCTGTTTTTAGATCCTTTGATGAATAAAGGAGCCCATTATGATCTTCCACCTTCACGATTTGTTATCGGCGCATCGTCATTTTAGTCGTTTGTCGTGAGGAGGAGTATGTTTCCAGCCACTGCATGTCCCATCAGTCAGTGATGGCAGTCCCTATAGTTTTTTCGCTTCTAGCCACTACAGGCCCATCAGTCAGTGATGGCAATTTAGTCCATGTAGGCTCCATCAGTCAATGATGGCAATTTAGTCCTTTGAGGGCCCATCAGTCAGTAATGACAATTTAGTCCCTGCAGTGAGGGGGAGTATGTTTCCCGCCACTAGTCAGAGGCCCCAACTAGTCAGAGATGACAGTACTTGCTTTCAGCCACTACATGCCCCAATTAGTCAAAGATGGCACTACCTGCAGTTTTGTCGCTTTAAGCCACTGAGGCCCCAACTAGTTAGAGATAGCAGTCCCTGCATTTTTGTCGCTTTTAGCCATGCAAGCCCCATCCTTACTTAATGGCAATCCAGTCTCTGCAGTTTGTCGTTGTCTACCACTCATCATTCACTTTTGATGGAAATCAACTTTGTCAAAGTCATCCTACTTGAAGGTTCATGGTGCTAGATGAAGTTTCGTGGTTGTCCAATATTATTCTCCATAAGCTTATGAGAGTCTCTTGCTGGTTTGTGAGTCCAATTTGGTTTATAGACATTCTTTCTTGATGATATGAAGCATATGTGCATCTTGTTCGAATCCAAAGTTACCACGTCTATTGTCTCGACATTTTAGACAAGTTGATTTTGTTGGATTGAGTTTATTTATTCCAAACTTGGCACATACAATCTGTATGCTCTAGGTTGGGGGGAGTGTTAGAATATTTATGTATTTATCATTATTATCTTATGTCTAGGGTTACTCTATTTATCATGATTATATTGTGTCTAGAATTATCCTATTTATCATGATTATATTGTGTCTAGGTTATCCTATTTATCATGATTATATTGTGTTTAAGGTTATCCTAATTATCATGTACTCTTGTATCAATTTATTTTTATAGATAGAAGATTATGAGAGGGATCAATCAAGCCCTCAAGAATTATTTTACAATTTCAATCTCAAGTAAAAACCAAATTTTGAGTTTCTTCCGAGATTTTTTATTTTCCTTTTTCTATTCTAGAAATGGGAAAAAGTGGAGAAATTTATGCTATTTGACATTGTTAATCTGACCTAGTCTTTTTTCCAGTTCTTTTATTCTGTAGATCTATTATTTAATAGAAAATTTTCACTTATTTGAATGCTTCTTTTTTCTCAGTCATCCTTCTCACAAAGTCTATTTGCAGATAAAACGAGATGTATCTGTGTTCTGAATATAAGGCAGATGTGTGTGTAATATTTTGTCATTTTTCTCGCAGCTCTCTGAACCGGCAGGAATTGTTGAAGGGAACAACGGTATGCTCTGTTTACTTCCTTCTACTTCATTGATTTTAGGGCTTTCACATATTACTCTGAATGAGTCTATAAGATGGAATGTACTTCATTGATTTTAGGGCTTTCACATATTACTCTAATTTGTTTGACCAAAATGTTGACAAGATTTATAAATTTTTTAGTTCTCCAACCGCCCAAAATGTCTTGAACGTTTTGAAAGAAATGTGCATATACCTGTCAGTAACAACTGTCACAAACTCTAGTTAAGCAGTTAGATTTGTTGTAACTACGTATCCTGTTTGAATACTGGCTGTCATTGTTTCAAATCAATGAATATCTCTTTTCAGTTTCTCAAAATTTAGTTTATCTCTCTCTCAATCCAGCCAGAGCTTGAAGGTCCTGCTATGGCTCCTAATCCTTTTCCTCTTTCCTCTGCATCCATTCTCTTCTCGCATACTATTTCAATAATAATTGATGACAAAAACTTCTTATTATGGCTCCAACAAGTAGAGCTTATTGTCAAAGCAAGTTGTCTTCTGCATTTTCTTGTTTTTTCAAAAATTCCTGTGGTTTATCTGTGAAAGTGATAAGGTGAAGGAAATATCAATCTTACATACAATGCTTGGAAGCAAAAAGATCAAATGATCCTTTCTTGGCTCCAATAGTTCCTTTCAAGCTTGTTAATTTCGCATTGAGTTGCGATCCACAACACTAGAAACCAAAACCATTTCAGGATTTCTACTACAAATCAAGGCTCTAGCCGATTTGTTGGCCTCTCTTGGTATCTTATTACGCCTCACAAACACATTTATGTGATTCTTGAAGGTCTATCATAGGATTACTGCTCACTTATCGTGATTGAGAACCAATTTGAACTGTTCCCCATTGAAGTTGTAGCACTCATCCCCACACATGAGATGCAAGTTGAGAAATTTTGCGAGAAAGTTCTTTTGGACTCTGCTAATGTCAAACTCTCTAAAATGATGCCCGTTAGTTCATCTTTGCAACAACAATCTAGTTCATCCTCTTTGCAACTTCAGGTTAAGCAAAATTTTGGAGATGAACCTTCGAATCAAGGTTTTTGAGGTTTTACTTAGGATCATGACAACGGCAATGGTTGTGGTCGTGGTGGTTGGTACTCTAACATACAGTGCCAATTATGGTTGAGGTGTGGTCATATTGCTACATGTCGTTGTCCTTATTACGATCAGCCCTATTGGTTGCAAGTCAGTATGTCTAAGACACCAGGGCTCTGAGAATGTTAATGTTCCTCAAGCATTTACTCCTTATTCCTTTGTTGCATAGTGTGAAAATGTATCGCACTTTGCCCCTCCATGGAATCGCATCTCTTGCCCCACCATGCCCTCAATTTCAACGCCAAGTGCCATGGTAACTAACAATAGTATCGCACGCAACAGTGGGTGGTGTCCATACTCCAGACCTTATTTTCTTATAACTGATGACTCAAAATATTCAATAGCTTGGTTCGTTTGAAGATCGTGAGCAAATTTTTTCTCAGCCTTAGCTTCCTCTGAGCAATTTTGCTCTTCCTCAACCATGCCCTTCAAGTAATTTTTCACTCTGCTAGATGCTGTGTTTTGCTCTCACATCATGTCCTTTGAGCAGATTTGTTTGTTTGAAGTTGTCACCCTTTGAGCATTTTCTGCTCTTTGGAATCCACTGCGCTCCTGAGCATTGTTTCCTTTTTAGCAGTTGTGTAGCCTTTGAGCATTTTTCACTCTTCGGCAACCGCTACGCTTTCCAAGCATATTTCGCTCTTCAGCAACCAACTGATTAATATGCTTACAAAATCTCTCAAGGTATCTCTTTAACTCGTATAATACATGTGCTCTAGCTGAAGTCGAAATTTTAAAGATATAATATGAAATTTATTACATAAAATAGGAAAATATCTTGACAAATATTTCTGTACTAATTATTGATTATGTTCGTTATCAGTATATTTCTTCTTTATTATAAATAAACTATTTCATTTTTGTTCTGTATGTTTTATCAATAAATCTGATCGCATTCATTCTCCCTCATCTCAATGTGTTTAACATGCACCTAGAGCTAGCGCACTGTTGGACCATTTTGTATAATTTAGCATTTAAATATTTATATACATGAACTACAGTGGTGTTATAACATTTGTGGGTTGGTCTTTTAGAATCCTGTGCGCCTTATCCTAACAAGTGGACATAACTGTCATCACATTATGTATGATTATGGAATTCGTACACTACCTTTTTGTAGTACAAGTACATATCTTGTTCTTTTCTCCTGTTTGTTGATCGCTCGATTCAATTACTTTGTCTAAAATGAATTAACTTTAAATCAACCTTAATCTTAGAAAAATAAATTGTCTGTATTTTGTTTTCAGGGAGATTATTTATAGCTGACACAAACAACAGCTTGATTCGATATCTAGATTTAAACGCTGATGAAACTGAACTCCGTACCTTGGAGCTTAAAGGAATTCAGCCTCCTAAACCAAAATCAAGATCTTTTAAACGTCTTAGACGACGAGCATCAGCCGACACAGTGCCAATTCCGATTGATGCCATTTCATCAAATGAGGGAAACTTGTCTATTAAAATATCATTACCAAGCGAGTATCATTTCTCAAAGGTCCTCACCCTCCTTTATTTCAAACACACTTCTAATTCAATTCTTTGCATACAAGCGAGATTATATATTTCGCTGACTATTGTCCTAATTTTACATTGCAGGAAGCCCGCAGTAAATTCAGCGTGGATATTGAACCTGAAGATGCTGTGAATATTGAACCCCTCGATGGATTCCTTAGTCCAGAAGGATCTGCAACTCTTCACTTTAAGAGATCCTCTAACTCTGCTTCAGTGGGAAGAATTAATTGCAAGGTATGCCTCATTATAGAACTCAGAAGTATGTTGGACTCTGAAATACTATGGTTTTCTTCACGCCTTCAAATTCTAGTTTCACATCCCTGAAATTCTAGTTTAATGGCATCAAGCGATAAAATTGACTGACTTTTAACTCAATTTTGTTTAGCTGTTATGTATTCAACTGCAATAATTATAAATCCACCTCACATAGCCGTGGTGGTGTTGGACAAACTGATTGAGCATAAACGTAAAAGGGATTACATTCTCTCTTTACAGGTTTACTATTGCAAGGAAGATGAAGTTTGTTTGTACCAGTCTTTGCTGTTTGAGGTCCCCTTCCCAGACGGTGCTTCTAGCCCTGCCAAAGCAGACGTTACTCTCGCACATTTTGTGAAACCCAAAACTTCAACCAGCAACTTACTGGAGACAGTTGTCCGGTGAGTCGGTGACACCATAAAAAGACAATTGTATTCAAATGCTTGAGTGTCATGATCTTTCTTCCGATACAACAGATCATAAGTTCATAACTAACAAAGTTCAAGGTAAGTTGCGTACCTTTCTCGCTTCTCTGAAGATGTCGTCATCAATAATCATTGTGTAATCTATGTTAAATAATTTATCTTATTAGTTATATTCATTGTTATAATGGTTGTTTTGTGGATAAGCAAAGATGGATTGTCTACGAAGTCGACACTCGTGCATCATCCATGTTATGATAATTGGAGGCCAATAATTGAGCATACTAACATTATTGTAAAAAAACATATCTATGCTGAACGTTTAAAACTTTACGTGTGTTTCCGAAAATTGATACGATAGATTAAAAAAAAAATGAATGATGCATTTATGAAATAATCATCGTTGTTATAAATTGATTTTTATTCAATATTAAATTTTTATTTATTTAAATAATAATATTATTATTATGAATATTATTATCGTGATTATAATTAATAATTATTCATTATATATATATATATATATATATATATTATTTCGTGATTTTTTATAATTATTTTTATGTTACATAACAATAGATTATATTATCTACAGTGTAAATATAATTATGTTATATAATTAATCATCTTAATTTCTTGGAAAATCATAATTTTTCCACATGCTCATAAAGATGGCTTGTTTAGAAACATTTTCCAGGGATATTGATACAGTAACCTCTTAAGCCAATTTACAATTGCAATGTTTTAATTTTTAAAAAAAAAACATTATGATACTGTCTTTTCACTTTGACTCATTATCAAGATTTCTTTTATTAAAAAATTATCTTTCACTAATTTTCAGGTGCCGTAATATTAAAATAAAACTTTCCTAACGTACAAAAATTTCTTTCAAATGCCCCGTTATTAAAATATAATTTTCCTATGCAAAATTTCTTTTTCTTCGTTAGGTATTCTTAGAGAAGTAGGTGTCATAAATGGCAAATAGCTTTTGGCGACATTATCAAGGTCAACCCTTCACAATAGTGATTTTTAGATATATTTTCGATGAACTTTGATTAGTGAAGTGTCATATTACCAAAATGATTATGTATTAACATTTGTACTTTGAATTAAGTGCATTATATTTAGTTCGGTCAAATTCGACCTTAAAGTAATTTGTGATTGAAATTTTTTTCTAAAAGAATTTTATGATAAAACTTAATATAATTTTGCACGAAATAATTATATTACAAAAGTTGTTTTTTTGTCTCACTCTAACTAGTTGGTAAACATTTTTTTAAAAATGTGTTTCTTTTAACAAAAAGTTCATAGTTAATCTGTTAATTTTTGTTAGTGAGACATTTAAACTCAACTTATATTTTCCTCTCTTCCATTGTTACCACCAAACAAACTATATTTCTTTCAAAAGTACTTTGTTCGACTAGAAGTTTGCAAATGCTTGACTTGGTGTTCTAAAGACAACATTATTATTAAAAAATGATTTTTAAGCTTAATTCAATCCATAAAATCGGTTTGTATATGTGAAGATTGCTTCTCACTTATATATTATAATTTGACGTTATCTCTAATCAATGTAGGACTTTCAACAATTAAACACGAATTTTTCTGTTTGAATCAATGAAAACGAAGGAAAAGGAAATGGAAGAAATAAAAGAAAAGATTTACTTTTTACTAATTGTTAAAAAATAAATAAAATAATTGGATATATGGGACCATTTTACACGTACCCAATCTAACAAGGCTAAAGTGGTGAGAGGATTCCTTTTATTTTCTGTATAGTTATTTTAAAAGTTATATACAATTTAAATAATTTTACGTTGAGGAAAATAATAGAGTAAAAGGTTAATTTTTTAGTAGATTTAATATTCTGAAAAAATATATAATTTATTTATTGATTTTTATTTTCTCTTTGCTATATAAGTTACCAGTATTATTGAAGGAAATTTATCTACATATCTGTTTGGTACTTTTACCTATCTAACTTGTGAACATCCTTCACTTTTTGTTTTATTTTTATTATTTTTATCTTCTTTCCATTTTCCTCTAACATTTATGAAAGGAAATGTGATCCAAATCAGTGCTGCTTTGTAAAGTGGAAAGAGAGAGATAATTAATATTTTTACGTTCAGTTAAACAAATTTAGAAAGTTACGAGACTCTTGTAAGTTTTCTATTTATATATATTTATCTTTTTTATTTTTTATCTTCTATTATATTAATTAAATTGTACCACTTCCGAAATATTTTCTTCTATTTTTACTTTTTAACTATTTTTTAAATTTATTTCTTTTTTTGTTTATAACTGTTTTGTTTTCTTAAAAACTTAGTGCTTTTACTTAGGAGTCAGCCAAAACCATGTCAATCTTAGAAAAAATCATTTTCATTTTTTGGTTTTTATTTGGTGAGGAATCAAATCCAGGCTTAAGACATTTATACAGTACCATCCCCAGAAACGAAGATTAAGACAATTAAAAGTAATTGCATGATTTTTTATTTTTCTTTTTACTTTACATTTATACACGTGAGCTCCTCACTTTTACCGTGTACGTATGTAGCCCTGTAACGTGAATGCAACGTTTGATTTTGCAGCAGAAGGGGTTTTGGTCTGGTTCAGTCATTCTCACAATTTTCTTATTATTATGATGATGAAACCATACTCTGCTTATTTCATAGCTAAAGGCAAAAATCATTGTACGAGACCACGTTTCGTGTAGAGATTAGACAGTAAAGCATGTCTCTTTCAAGGAGGCAAACTTGTCTTCCATGTCATTTTGATAGATTCGTTTCAGATTTCCCATTTCGGACTCACATTTATTCATCTCTCTTACTGCTGCTAAATGATAACTCACCCTAATCTTCTCAAACTTTTCTCAGCAATAATATCTGCAAACCAATAACATTTGCAAAACACAATGTTTAATTTGAGTAAAAGAGTGGCATGCGTTCCTTTATGTGTGTGCATCCCCTCCTCTAATCATTGTCAACTCTGACTCCTCCGATGTTCCATTGCCATGTCAAAAAATACCTTCAAAAGCCACTTCTTTAGCTGTCTTTACCCCCAAAACATTTATCAATTTCCAAGCGTGAACATCAAATCCAATCCTTGCAGGTAAAGGTAAGAAACACATCCAATTTTACATTACAATAATACTCTCCACCATAACTTTTCTCACATGCCACCGATTTCGTTCAACCCTCGCCCAAAAGAAAGGGTAAAACTATCCAAAACAAAGCATCATCATTTCCTCTGACCATCAATGTTGGCAGTTGGTTAAGAGATGGCAACGACCCACCCCTGTTTCATTCAAATAATTTAGCTACTCCTTTCCCTTTTCTCCTAAGGGTAACTAGTAAAACCTTTCACAGAAAATTCACCTCTTCAAAAATCTTCAGCTGGAGATTGGATATAAGCTTTGAAAATGAATTAAGGCTTATATTTTTATTAATTAAGATAGTGAGCACCTCCTTCCGGCGACTATTGGAAATTAATGTTTGTCCAACTAAAATGGGAAGTTAAAGAGAAAGAGAGGGTAAAACCTAATATCATATTTTAATTTGACAATTTGTCTGCTATTTGTTAAGCAAGCCTAAATTGTGGCCCATTAAAACCTAATTTATAGAGCCAAGTTGTCTAGTCAAATATACCTAAATTTTCCTTATCCAACATGCCATGTCACGTCACTATCTTCCTCCATTTGTTATCGGAAAACTTTCAACTACAGTCTTGTTATTCATCTTGCTTTTCTAGTCAAACTTTCAAATCTTTACCTACTCGCTCCATTTTGTCCTTCTCCAACCCATAATTTTATACCATACAAGTCAAATTAGTGTTATTTTCTTAAAAAAAAGGCAAATGAATCATCACTTTGTCAAAAAATTATACATATCAAAGTGTAAAATAAGAATACACGTAAAAAAAAAACTTAAAAAGTGCATTGCAAATTACAAAACCGAAAAAAAAGTATGCTCAACACGGAAATACAGCAGGGGTAAAAATGGAAATTAGAAATTATACTCTGAACGCAACCAAAATTTAGAGAAAGAAAAAGAAATGAAAAGTAAAGAGAAGGACGCGTGGATCCTCGTGAATTCTCTTTTATTCTCTCTCTCATGCACCCACCTTAATATCATAATCTTCTTCTCTCATTCTTCTCGTTCAAATATGAATTCCAATTCTTGCAATTTCTGATCAGTCAATCATCGCTTCCACCTTCTCTATTTTCAAAAACAATTCCAATCATATCCCTCTTCTCTCCATCATTCTCTTCTCATGGCGTCTTTCCACCCCAACCTCCATTCTGTTACGTCATCGCAACAATCCAATCACAAGAAGCGCCGCAAACACCACGCTTCCCTCGCTTCCGCTCCCTCTCCATGGACTTCCCAAACCGAACACCGCATCTACGCCACTAACCTCCTCCACGCGCTCCGCCGTAACAGCCCTGCCGCTGCCAGCGATGTCCGCGCAGCCGCCGACCGTGCCCTCGCCGCCACGGCCAAAGGCCGAACTCGCTGGAGCCGCGCGATTCTCACAAATCCGTTTGGCCGGTGGAAGGGGAGGCACCACATGAAGGCCAGGAAGTCCCGCGCTGGACTGATGAAGAAGAGGACGCCGGAGATTCGGAGAACGGCCCCGCCGCTGCAGAAGAAAGCGCGCTCCCTCGGACGGTTAATCCCCGGTTGCCGGAAGGTGTCGTTCCCGAAGCTTCTAGAAGAAGCCGGTGATTATATCTCTGCCTTGGAGATGCAAGTGCGAGCCATGACGGCTCTCGCCGACCTTCTCGCCGGCGGTCCGTCGTCCCCCGCTCCTCTCCGTTTGAGTTGACTTACTTTGTTTTTTAGCGTTCCTATTTTTGTTTATTATATATGTTTATATATCGTTTTTATTGGTTTTCAGCTTTAAATTCCTCTTCTCCATTTTTTTATCCTCATTTTTTTATTATTTCAGTTGAGGAAGTTATAATCGAGAATAATAAGACATGTCTTATACTGTTATATAGTATTAGTACTATGATATGGTATATCTTTTGAAGGCTGGGATATAGTATAAACAGGTTCACAATTATTGACGAGAAACAAGTTAAGACCTGCAGACTTGTCTGTTGTAGCAGAGGAAATGGAGGGGCACCCTAGCTAAAACCAGTTTTCACTTGATTTACTCCCTCATACACATATTCAAAGTAATTTAGTAAAAATCTCTTGCTACAGACATAGATAATAATGTGGACACATTTGTAGTGTTTGGTTGTGAAACCAAAAAGGAACGTAGGGTGGCCTGAGATTCATGTCATGTGATTGGGATGTCCCACACAGAGAGACGTGAGATGAGTGATGATGAGATTGGGTTGCATAGCATTGCATGCGAGTGAGTAGTATGTGAAAATGGGTTTCACGTGGCTTTTGAAGAATTAGAATGGTCATTGGCCTTTTGTATTTGCATCCACATTGTTCTCCTTGGAACAGACAAATATGGGTCAGATCCTAGACAATGTTCTCTTTCTCTCTCTGTCTATCTCTCTCTGCCTAAACACCTTTTTCCTTATTGAGTCCTGACACGCGTGCAACCTTGACAATACATCTCTCATTTTTCCCACAGTGACATCCCATGCCATGTGGCTAACCCACCACCCTTTCCTCCATTTTTCAACTTTCAATTCTCAAAATTCCACACCTTCTTTCCACATAATTACTACATTCTTTGTCCTTTCCCTTAACCATCACATTCCACATGCACCCATGTGCTTCCATTTAACCCTTTTCTTCACAGAATCAGGAGATGGGGCACACACTCGCCACAAACTCTGTCCCCTATCTTTTTCTTCTCAACAATTACTCTCATTTCTTCATTCCACCAAGACTTCTACACATATATGGTTAACAGCTTAAGGTATAAGGAAAATATTAAAAGACTTTCTTTACATAACAACAAAGAAAATTATACTTTTAAAAGCCCACCTCATAACTATTTTATTAATATAATAATATATTAATATTTTAGGTTATGTAATAATAGTTTATTTTACGAGTGTTGATGTGAAACCCCAAATTGTCTTTAAATTATTCACTGACAACACCTTAAACTTTATGGACCCATCTTAAGGGGAAAAAATATACCAAGGACAATATTGATTCTATTTGCCTTAGATATTCCATAAACTATACTTCATTTTGACCTCATACCATGACTAGGGATATGGAATTCGTGTCAGTGTGTTGCCTATAAAATTATGTACATGTTTGTTTGATGGCCTTTCAAAATTGGGATTAATTAAAGTCCTTGATATGGTAAATGAGACCACTAGTTTGTCTGTTGTTGGAGCATTTTCCTTGACGTCATCATGGGTGTCATCAGCTGTTTCAAACTCTGGATTTGTGTTTTATATAGCTTAAATTTGGTGCACATGGGACCTAAAACATCATAATTAGTTGGGTGTTCAGCCTTGCCATCTTTCTTGTCTAACTAAAGATGATTTAGATAATTTAAAATAAAACTTCACTTTTTTATATCTTCAAGTTGAATCCACTTATTATTAAACTCATCGGAATCTTTATTAATGAGTCACAATTCATTCATATAAAAGAAAAATAATAATTACCTTCAAATTAAATCAATTTTTTATTAAAATCTTAAGTCATTTTTTTTATATGTTATTTAACTCGTTAAAGTTTATCTGATATAAATCTTAATTCATATTTGAACTCCAAATATTTTCTTCTAGAGTGTACTTATCTCCTGTATTAACATTCTTTCTGTCGAGAAAAATATTCTTTTTACTCAACTATTTTAACGCTAACCCTTGATTGAACCATTAAAAACTATAACGAGACATTTTTTAAATCTTATGATACGGAATTTTTTTTTATATAAAAATATCTATAAATCTAGGATTCGTGATTATTCATATATAACTTATCTGAGCAATAAAGAAGACGAATTAGTGAGTGAAATACCACTTGTTGTACAATTGAGGTGAGGAATTTTTTTTTTGAAAAGATCACTGTTAAATTGGAGTTTTTCCATTGAATCTACAATTGTTGGGTCTGTTTATCAGTTTGACCATTTAGAAAGATAATTTTTGTATTATTAAATTTGTGGTAAATGTGATTTGGTCTGCTATGACAGTCATGCTTACTAATTTCTGGGCACCAGGCTCATTCCTCGATTTGTTTACTAGGATTTAAATTTCTGAAAAAATTTTACTTGAATAAAATCTAGGTTTCAATTATGAGAAATACAAAGCGAATATTAATTTACACAAAGATAAACTGAAAGATATGGAGATAAAATATAGGATTATTTATGGAAAACTATAACTATGAGAATAAAGTTGTGGGTAAATTGAAAAAACAGAATAGATGAAATGGGAAAAAAAGAAGAAAGAAAGAGAGAATAAAAGAAGGTTGTCTTAGGAATAAATTAATGGAAAATAAAGAAATGATTAGTGGGCCAGAAGTGTGAATTACTACACGTGGCCTCTTTAAAAGGATAGAAAAAACGACAAATGGGAAGGCCCAGTCATGTGGAAGAAGTGATAGAGATTCTTCTCTTTTTCCCTTTATTTTCTCACAAAATTTAGTATCAAAATTATAAAAAAAGTGGAATCAAGCTTCATTTATTTTGTGCTGGACAATGTCTTCTTTCTCATCTTTCCAGAATTGCCCAAAATCTGCATAACTACTCTCTTTAATCACACTCTACAATATAATATGCTTATAAGACAAGTCACAGTCTCTTCTTTAACGTATTCCATCTTTTCTCTTTTTATTTTATCAATTTTATTTTAATTTTTTCAATTTAAAATCTTTTTCCTAAAGAAAGTTCGTAGTCCTTATTTATACCTAGGTTATTATCTTAATTTAATGATTTATTATATTACTTTTTATATTTATATTAAATTATGTATTTATTTCTGTTTAAATACAATAAAATCTTTCTATATTCATATAATATAAACATAATATAGGCATTTATTATTTCAAACAATCTTGAACAATACAACTTATTTTCCGTAATTAAAATCCTACCCCTGTACTGTCAATTAATTAGTAAATAAAATATTAAATTAAATAGGTTTTTAATCCACAAATTTATTTTTAAGTTTCTTTTAAAACTAAGTTATATTTTGATCATTTTTCTTAAAATAATCTTAATTTTTCGTACTCTCAAAACTATCGAACTGATAAAAAGAAGCCGGGTGTGACACGTCAATTTCTTTTGCTGACGGTGAGTGAATCTACTTCTCTCCCTCCGTCTCCTTCCTTGGTGGCTGCCCTCACGTCAAGGGCTCCGCCGCCATTCTGAACATCCCCCCACCTGGCGAACTCCCTCCCACGCCCGGCCTCCTTGACGGAGCACGACGTCCAGGCGGCGACGACGAAGGCAGCAGCGGTGAAGGAGGCGCACATGGAGCCATCCTTCTCGTCCTTGGTGTCGGCAATGGACCTTTTATCCTTTCTGCGGTCATTACTTTCTCTTGACCGCAGAAATTAATTTTATGGTATGACGTAATTGCAGATTTTGGCTCCACTTCCCATCGGATTTGTTGTGTTCTTGGTCCACTTGGCCACCATTCTCATCACAGGAACTGGAATTAACCCTGTTAGGAGTCTTGGAGCAGCCAATATCAAGTACGTTCCTTTCTTGCATAATTTTTCAAGATTTCAACTTTTGTTCTGATATTAATTTTTCATTCTGTGGTTTTACAGTGGATTTTCTGGGTTGGACCTATCATTGGAGCTGCTCTTGCTGCTTTATATCACCAGATAGTTATCCGAGCCATTCCTTTCAAGGCAAGAGCTTAGGCTCTTCATTCTTCCTTGTGCTTGCTTCATTTAATTGTTGTTTATGTGTCTGCTGTCTGCTTAATTTCCAATTTCTTCATGTGAATCTTTTTGTGTTAATTAATCCTTTATGGATGTAAATTATGACATGGTATTTCTCACACTCTAAAAGCCACCTCTTTTATCTATTCTTTTATTTTAATGGATTGCTCCTTTTATTATCATACTCTCTCAATAGAATATATAAATTATTAAGGTATCTGCATAATGTCTGTTGAAAATGCAGATCGGCGTCGGGAATGTGCCTAGCCACGTCGTGAGCTCTCGTTCTTTATTGTTAAAGAGAACTAAAGAAGAGTGGAAGAAGACGTAGGGAGAGAAGCAGATTCACTCAGTGTTAGTAAAAAAAGGACGTGGGAGACCACCTTTAGTCACCTTAGCTTTTCTTTAACTCCGAGAGATATTAAAAACATAGCTTTTCTTTAACTCCGAGAGATATTAAAAACACTTGATAATTTAAAAATTAAAAACATATTTAATTTTAAAATATTTAGTAACGAAACAATATTTCAGACTCAAATATAAACAAAAACAGCTAATTTACTTGCTAAATAAAATAAAACTAACTGATGTGTAATTTTAACTTCCATATTTTGTAAAATTCTCCATTTCGATTTGTAGTTTGTTTTTCAGCAATTTTAGTGATTTGAGCTTTATTATGTAATTCTTTTCCGTACTTTTTTTTACATAGCTTTAATCCCTTAATGCTTATTCATCATTAATTAAGTCCAATCTGAATTTTAAAAATATACCAAATCACTTTCAAATTGTATTAATAACAAGTCCTATAATTGTTGCTTTTTAACTATAAAAACCTCACACCCGGCAAGCCTTTTCTCCTCAATTTCATTGTCTCGTATTTATAGTTTAAAAAAAACTACGGTTGATTACAAAATTTAAAGGCGAGTAGAGTAGGGTGGTAATCCATTTATCTCTTTCCGTCTTTAGCCAACAAAAATATTACGAAAATTTTTAAAAAGTACAAATTTTAAAACCATAGTTACGATAATACGAAAATAACAAGAAACTAAAATTGCAATCAAACCTTACTATTATTTAATTTTACTACTCTCATTTCAAAAATAAATTTTTTTCTCGTGTTATCCTTTACTAAAGCTTGATATTGAGAAAACAAAAAGAATAATAAATACTAGTTCAATAAATCATATCAGATAACAGATAACATTAAATAGGATAAAGTTATTATATAAACTATACTTAAATTTATCATTATGACATTTCATAAACTTATATTTGATTCTGATGAAAGTACTCACTTTGAAGTATAGAAAAAGATTTACAAAAGAAATAAAAGTCTTTTAATGTTTATATTACTTATGTAACATATAAACATAATGTGATATATTTAAAATATCATGTTTGCAATTACTTTGTCTATAAGTTGAGATATATATTTTTCAAGACATACTTTAAACGAAAAACTAAATATTAATGGATCGTTTTATAGGAACGACATGTTTAACAACTAACAAATTTTATTACAATAAATTTGTAAAGTTAAGTTTACTTTCATAATTATATTTTATAAATTCATTTTATTTTTTATCGGTGAGATTCATAAAATATTAATAAGTAGATTTTAAGTTGATATCGATCTTATAAAATTGATAAAGTAAAATTTATACTTAATTATATACTATAAATATTTCTTATTATTTTCATTGAACACGAAATCCCTAATATACCTTACGTAGAGATATGTACTTTATCTAACATAAGAAAAAACATTAATAAACGATACTTTAAAGATATTACAGGTGTATTTGCCGTTTGTTCTGAATTACTTAAAGAAAAGTATCGTTGTTTGATTTGGCAAAATGATAGAAAAGATGGATTCAAGTTAATATTTTTTCTAATTTAATGTACTTTATGAAATTTTTATGGGTTCTTGAACTAAACCTATTTTGAAAGCTCATTGTGCAAAGTGGCTACGGCTTTATCTTTTAAAATGATTTCTGAAAATGGAGATTTTTTTTTTAGGGAAATGAAGAAGAGATTCTAATTTAGGTTCTGAAACCTATGTTCCGGCTCGCTAAAGTTGAGAACATACATAATGGTGGACTCCATATTGCTAGGGACTTCTTCAACAATATGCAAACAAAATATAACATCATAGAAATAATCTTTTATAGTAATCTTGTGCCAAATGCTACCTACACCTCTGGTTCTTGCCTATTCACCTCTCATGTGGATCAACTACTAAAACATATAGAGGAGATCATTTTTAACATTACTTTGTGGTTGACTTGTAAGTGAGTAATAGTACTATGTAGTTATTGAAATTTATCACAAATTATCAATTGAAACTTCAATTTTAAAAAGTGTTTGTTGACTTTGATGGAAAAAAGTTAGAGAGTAATTAAATTCGGTCAATCCCTAAACTCTCTATCAAAGTGCCAAGAAGGTGGAAAATGTTTGAATCATTGGCACCATGAAGCATCACACGAATGATACAATATTTAAATTCCTTTTAATTTTTTATTAGTTGTCATATTTAACAATGATGATTATAATCGACCAAGCTTACATTAGGGTTTTGAAATTTTAAAAAATATTAATTTTCTGTTTATTTTATTTCTTAGGTATTAAATTTATTTATTTTGATCGTCTTTAATTTAAGTAAGGGAAAAAAAAGAGACGTATTAATAGGTAGTTGCGCGCGCTCAAGTTATGGTTTGAATAAATAGAGGCGATTCAGTTTTCAGTTTTCACTTTTCACTTTTATTGTTGTGAAAGAAAGTAGAATTAAGAAGTGGAAAATGTCTCTGCGACCTGGTTCTGGTTCTGCCACCGGTTCTGGTTCTGCCACCGGTTCTGGTTCTGCCACCGGTTCTGGTTCTGCCACCGGTTCTGGTTCTGCCACCAGTTCTGGTTCTGCTAGTGGTTCACATTCTCCTTCTGGTTTTGGTTCTCCTGCAAGAAAGAAAACCTATAAGAATACACCCGAGGCAGAAAAGGGTAAGAAAAAGAGAGAAGAAGAACTCGTCGGCATCAGAAAGGTCAAACGCGAAGAATCTCTTCTCAAGAAACGAAGAGAGACTCATACCACCCAGTCCTTTGACACGGTTCGTTCCTTCACCCACAACTTTCTTTCAATTTCTTGCTCCTTTCATCAACAGCCTTTCAATCTTTTTTTCATTAGTTCTTGGAAGATATTCCTGAAGATGCACTGAAACTATGGTCTGAGAACACTGACGAACAGTTGGCGGCAGCCATGAGCCTGGGAAGTCTGCTAGAACTCGGTGCGATTTCAATTCATATTTCTTGTATCGTACATTCTTAATCTTGATAAAACAATTTTAACATTCTGGGTTTATTTATGTTAATTAAGAGAACCCTCCAATTGAAGAGGTCGTTTCGACGGGTGTTGTCCCTCGCTTTGTGGAGTTCTTGTCAAGGGAAGATACACCTCGGTTGCAGGTACAAATGTAGACATTGGATTTTCCAAATCTTTTTACTTTCTCATTCATTCACCTTTGTTATTATTCTTCTTATTCTGCAGTTAGAGTCTGTCTGTGTTCTAACTAATCTTGCTTCGGGAGCATCTCAATTCACAACAGTTCTAGTAGACCATGGTGTTATTCCCCCTTTGGTGAATCTTCTCAGTTGTACCGATGATAATATCAAAGAACAGGTCATGTCTTTTGATTGACTATTAAACTCTTCAATTTCTCTTGTTAATTTGTGTCCCCGCCCTCCAAAGGAAAAAAAAATGAAGATAGTTTTCTACTTAATCGAGTTTGGTTTCCCTTTCTTGAACAGACCGTAGGGGCTTTAGGGAACATCGCCGGTGATTCCGTAAGCAATAGGGATCTTATTCTTAACCATGGTGCTCTCTTGCCTTTATTATCTCAGCTGCAACCACATTCAAGATTGTCCATGTTGAGGCATGCATCGTGGTGTTTATCTAATCTTCTCCGTGGAAAGCCTTCAGTAGATTTAGAAGAGGTTGGAGACATTTCCTAAGATATTGCTTGAGACTGATCACACATTTAATAATTTGGAAGCAAACTTATTCATGATTTATCTCTGTAAAAGCATGCTTATTCAATGGTTACAAAAGCAAACTGACTGGGCGCCATGTGATCCTGTATAAATATAAACACAGTTGATTTGTATATTCGTTTGCTGTCCTCTCTTCTCCATGTTATGCAGACTTATGTTTTCAGTATTGTGTTATTGAGAAATGGGCTTGATCTTTGTTAGGTACGACCTGCATTACCCGTCCTTCAGCGACTAGTCCACTTCGACGATGATGAAGTTGTACAACATACATGTTGGGCTCTCTGTTACCTTGTGGAAGGCCCAACTAACAGTGTTCAAGCTGTTATTGAACTAGGAGTTTGCCCAAAACTTGTGGAACTTCTGCAGTATGTTACTCAGCTCTTTACAACTTAATTTGATGCATCATGTCAGTACACCATTATTTTTTATCGCTGGACAGTTTGGGATGATTAAGTTTCTTTTTTGAAGTCATCCATCAGGTAAAGTTACTTTACCCGCGCTTCAGGCTCTAGGAAATATTGCTGCCGGTGATGATGTTCAGACACAGGTAGAAAGAACCATGTACAATTTATTTCTGATTCTTCTAAAGCATGTTTGACGTGATTTTTATATTATCTTAATGTATGATCGTGTGTCTAATCTTGTAGTTGAAGAGCGTATGGTATCAAGAAGTCATATTAAGACAATGTCTTTTTTATCCCCTTTACATGTATTACCTTCAACCAAATGTAATACAGGGGACATAAAGTAAAATATATCCACTGTACAATTTAAAATATTAACATTTTAATTAAATTTCTTTTATTTTTTAAATATCAATATATATTAGTAACATATTGTTGTATGCATTTTCAGATTGTACTTGATAGCAGAGTGCTCCCGTCTCTTCACCAACTTCTTATGAAGGAATACAAAAAAAGAATCTTTAGAGAAATTTGTTGGATAATCACAAATATCACTGGCGGGAGTCAATCTCAAATACAGGTAAGGAAATGTTAACTGATAATTTAGTAGTAAAGTCCTAAAACCAGCTCTTTTTCCATTCTTTATTTTGACGTGTGTATTTTGATTAGGAGATAAGATATCACAAATCTTCATGAGAATTTACGGGATAGTGAGACCTTTGAAAAATTGTTGT